ACTCCGAAACGTTTGAGAATGAGCTCGTTACCCTTGGACGTGAAGCACTTGCCGGCGCCGCCAGCCTCACCCGTCACGCCAACATGCCCCTGCATGAAGCCAGGCCGGCAGCAGAGGCGGCGGCGGGAGAGTCCGCCTGCCCTGCGGTCGCGGCGTTCTTTGCCGAGCCCGCACCGGCCACCACGTCTCCAGCCGCGGTGTGTAGTGCGGCGCGCCTACGCTCAGTCGGCCGTCGAGCCCCTGGGCGCAGCGCGCCAGGCCGAACACGGCCGCCAGGCGTTCTTGGTAATTCATAGTGACCATGTTCAACTGTACTTATTTACGTGATCATCGGTAGAGTGCCAGGCTGGATAGGTCCATCTGTTGACAAAAGGGAAAAATACCAACAGGAGTCGAAAAGTATGCTAGTGCAGTGTTTTTGCCTAGCGGCAAGAATTAAAACTAAGCCCAGTGCGAAAGCTGGGTGCCATGAACACTGTATGTTCCGACTTCGGATATTACGCGTTTGGATGCTATAAACGCTCCAAATGGGCACGGAGTTCGATGCTTGCTAGTTGCTATTAACGCTGGATGTTGCGGTTTTGGATGATAAGAACACTACAAGCTGTACTCTTGAACTTTGGCTTCCTATTCTTTTTGACGTAACTGGTCCTGAGGTTTCACTAGGTTATGTTTCTGAAGTATACCCCAAAGGTGGGACAATCCCTTTAAGGTCGATGCATGTCATGTAATATAAGAAAGCATGCAATCATGTTAACATGTAAACATGTGAAGAGAAACCTTCATCTGGTGCGCGCCGGAAGCGGCGAAGTGAGCGCAAGGGGCGAGGAACAGCGGAAGAACAAACGTTTTTAGCAAGAGCAGTGTTGGGCAGGGAAAGCGGCGAGGGGGCGCGTAGCTTGGGGGGCAGGGTACGGCTGCGGCCAGCTGCCTCGTTTAGGAAGCGGCTCGCGAACGAGGCAACGTCGTCGTGGGAAGAAGAAATCACCGACCCGCGCGTGCGCCAGGTGGTGCAGGAGATCCTTCGGCTGGTCGAGCCAGTTCGGTGGCGGTGGGCGCAGCCGTCAAAATCGGAGGGGATGGGGTAGAGGACGCCTCCTGGCTCCGCCGAGATGAATGGACCCATATCAATATCGCAGAGCTAGATGCTGCCCCGAAATGGGTGAACGTGGGCCATCCAGTGGTGAGTGACGAAAGTCACCCTCGGACGGACTCCCGGAATGTGTGTCACTGGATAACGGATCACCTCAGCGGCAAGGCACGCGTGCGCGCGAAAGCTGCGTCGGAAATGCTTATCAGACGAAGACTAGGCACGTTAAAAGCCCTGGCGGAGGAATGCGGCACACAATTGAGCGTACGGGCAGTCCCGTCCGCGGCCAACAAAGCGGACGCACTCACGAGAGTGTCGGCCGACGGCGACGGTGACGGCGCTGCCGCGGCGGCTACGGGAACAGCAGATGGCGCTACTGGCGCTTCCGGCGACCGCCGCTGCGGGCGACGTAGTCGTCGGCGACGACGGGTCAGCCGGGGTCAGTGACGAGAAGATTTGCAAAGTTCACGAGGCTGCTGGGCACTCGGGTGTGCGGCGCACTCTGTACTTTTGTCGCCGAGCCGGACTGAGTGCGACGAAGCGAGTGGTGCGCGATCTAGTGCGGGTCTGTCAGCAGTGTCAATCTGTCGACCCCGTCCCCGTACGGTGGGAGCGGGGCGGGCTGGCAGTGAGTGACGACTGGCGCCGTCTAAGTATGGATATAACTAACGTCGGCGTCGTGCACTGTCTGACGATCGTCGATTGCGGACCGTCAAGGTTCGCCGTGTGGCGACGTCTGAGGAGGCAAGGTCGGCCATCTTGCAAGGTAAGCGTTATCTTTATACATCAAAAGATCCGCTGTTAAAATGCCTATTAGTTCTCCAATTTTGGTGCGGCTATATCACGGTGTTCAGAAATTATTTTTGAAAACCCTCCGGGAGGGTTAACTTGATTCTCCATCCAAGCGCGTGCTAACACGCGCTCAGGCGGCCGGTCGAATACGACGTGCTCGAGCGACGTAGTGGCCAATTTCACCCCCTGATATCTCAAAAAGTGATAAACCTAGAGTCATCAAATCCACATAGGTAGGAAGGCCTATATGCGAACCCACTTGATGTTAAAATTTGGAATTACCAGGTCATGACCTTTGGATGGTGATTTTTGAGGAGCACTGCACGGCGATCTACAGCTTGCTGCGAACAACGGGTGGCAGCCGGTGCCGCGGGACGGGCGCGGCGGACCGACATTGCTACGTATACGAAGCCATTCAATATAAATAACAGATATCGCCGGTCAAAACACATAAAACTACGCACCGTTCTACTCAGAATTGAACAAGAAACACGCTTGTTTAGAAATTGTATTGCTACAAGGCATGGTCTAATAGATATAAGCATACAAAGCTAGAATAGCTCGATGTTCGGGAACATTTTACTTTTGACCTGACATAATGGGGCCAATTATTGACGTACCAACATACAAATATCACCAATCGCGAGATGTCATTAAGATCAATCCACTGGTGTTTCCGCTAAGCCCTGTCTTTATTAATTTGAAAACGGCAAGGGGGTTGTATCACCCCCCGCCCATCAATACGCCCTATGCAAAGCGGCAAATTCAGGCAATAGTTTATTTGGCCCAATGGGTCGATGTATTCACCATCTCCCGTACATCTGCTCCGACTCCCCATGATGTTTAAGTTTACAATTGATGGCATGTTGAGTCTTAACGGCTAAAAATAGGTAAGATACAATTGACTGGCTTAATATGAATAAATAAATACATTTCACAGGCAATACGTACGAACATTTTATTGTACAATTCCTGGCACAGCGATATCCATTCCACAGATAGATAATTTAGCTGCATGCAGCCTTTGGAGAGACGCCTAGGCTGACGCACTCAAGGCGTTTGTGGTGCATGGTTTAGCGGGAACCAAACAGAGAGGGTTACATCCGAGGCCCGAGAGCGGAGCATTCGGGCAATTGGGTGGGGTGCTGCGCTTCAGAACAAAAGAAATCGTCGGCAAGGTGATAAATGTTGGGACAGTAAGACTCAGACCTCAGAATGTGCAAGGAAAATAGATCCTAAAGGCAACGTCGAGGTTGAACCACAGCGATCTGCACTATTCTGCAGTGAAGTTTCTGAGGCGATATCCGTAAGGACGATTGTTGTGTCAGCGAAGCTGTCATCAGTAACACATGTTACTCTGATTTTGTACTGTTAGGCGGGAGAGAAGATAGATGCTGAAAAGGATATTTATTTGTACTGATCTATGAGGGCTATGTCCTCCCCATTTGATGTTGACTTCACCCCAAATGCTGGTTTTAGCCCCCATTGTTCCAGCTATGATATTGCAAAATGGGTGTAAAGGCAGATGTAATACAAAGTTTACCCTCGCCCACCATCATTTAATGGTCATGGACATTATTCTGCTGAAGCACATTTTTAAGTATGTGCTGCATCATCAACACAGCTGTCAAAGAACGGGCTGTTGGGCCCTCAGCATAATTCATCCAACAGTCTGCGGTATTGCCTCTGGGAACTAGATGCTTAAATACTTATGTTTACCATAGTCCTGTTCTTCACTAGCAAATTGAAATGGGAGCCCATTCACTCTGTTGCAAGACCATTTGCCAGCTTTCAAAGCATGGTATGTGCTTGAAAGATGTTTTGTGTAAGCCCAAATCCTGCCCAAAATGAGCAACAAGCTGCCAATTTGAGACTGCTGCTGCTAGTATGGCAGGTCATTTGGGTACCAAGGAAGGGTGGTACTTCAGAGAATGGTGGTGTTTTATATAGGTCAATTAATCAATAGTAGTAATGACACACTGTCATAACCATACTAGATCACCTCCTCCAATTGCAATTATTTAAGTAATTACATGTGTAATTTGCACTCCATGCACAATGTGCATTAATCTACAGTTAACTTCAACATGTGAGTTTAGTTCTGTGTTTGGTCAGTGTGGTGCAGTTTGTGGTAAGCATCAGTAGAATGCTTAAAAAATCTGATCCCTGTGCAACAAGACACTGCAGCCAGCTGAGCGTGCTCTGTATGACACCCATCCATTTACTAGGAATGGCACATATGGTATCTGTGGTTCAACCTGACACCCAGGTGTGCATTAAACCAGACCAGCCTCAGCCCCTCCCACAGCTACATAGCAATGTGGTTAGATGAATAAGCCACCAACCTGCCTTCATTGTTTGGTGCACTTGTTATCTCACCCATGGTTGTGTTCAGGTGCTGAGCTTGGCTGTGGTGTGTTTTATCTGTATGCTTTTGTTGTTCTTTTGTAGATGAGCCTACAGGAGAAAAAACATGGCCCGTTGCAAGTTGGTTATGTGTATAGCAGAGAACTTCTACAGCAGGCTGACCGGATCCAGAACCTTCAGCATCGGGCAAGTAATGGGTTTCTTGCATTGAAATGCAGTTGTTTGTATTGTTCCGTGAATTACTTGTTTGCTATTACGACGTTTCGACGCGCTCTATCTGGCTAGCTGACGTTACCAGCTATTACAACATGCATACAATTATATTGTCTTTCCCGCTCTTGGCAGTGTGTTTTTTAAAGACACCTATTCACCAAAAATTAAGGGCACTTAGCCCCTAAAAGAATTATCCTGGTCTCATTGTTCTGAAACACTAGAAAATTCCGAAAAAAGAGCAGGCTTCAATCTTTTCCGAACCTACACCTACATACATTTTGCCACCTCTGCATCTCGTCCTCGATAATGATGTTTCGGATTAAAAGACAGCGATAACGAAGCACCACTATCACATTTTAACCTCACGTAAGGACCGTGGCGTGTCTAAAGCTTTATAAAATGATAACAGTGCAAAGTAAAAATTCCTGTAGCTGTCTACGTAACTCGCGTCAATACGATTTTCTCATTCCTCATTTACCTCAAGGAAGTGCCGGCGTTGTGTCATCGGGCGCTCACAATGCACTACACGTGCACATGCACTTACGATGCTCCTGTTTGCAGGCGTCTATGGTGCACGCGCTTCTCAGCGCGTTTGGTCTGATTGATGCCATGGTACCGCTCGGCTGCGAGGTGGCCCAAGTGGATGATCTACGAAACTTTCATTCCAGCGACTATGTGGATTTCTTGGAGTCAGTTGACAAGAGCAAGGATCTCGATCAGTATGAAGATGATTTAGACGAATATGGTCTGGGTGAGAATGTATGGATTAGTACTGACGCTACAATCTAGTGTGAATCTAGAACTATTCTCAAAGATCTGATCCTCGAGAATGCAGTTTGAAGAGACCAAACACGTGTGCAGTTCTAGTACCGACTTTTTTAGCCATACGCTTGGTGGAATGTGCGTGACTATGTTGGACGTGTATGTTTCGAACCGCACAGCAATCTCAGGCTTTTGCCTCAGCAGCCCAGATTTTTCCTATAAGTTATCATGCTTGGCGTAAAACCCGTAGTATATAATGACATAATACATAAAGCCCCAGTGACACACACAATGTGCAGCCCCAGGATTGGTCGTTGGGATTTTTGCGGCGAGTCCTAATGTTCCGGACAATTTGCACGGTGATTGCAGGGAGCCGAACAATGTTCGCTCCTGACGCCTGTGTTGCGTTGTCTGTTCGGTCGTAGAAGGCCTCGTGTGCTCACCTCAGGCCAGTGCACCAGTGCACAGCGTCGCTCTGTCGGCAGGCGCGACGGTATAGGTTCACCGTGTCACCACCAGGGTTCGACTGCCCGCTGGTGACCGGCATTCTGGACCTAGCCCTGCACCTGGCTGGTGGCTCGTTGTGCGCCGCCCGCGCCCTCTGTCGGGGTGAGGTGGACGTGGCAGTCAACTGGAACGGTGGCTGGCACCACGCCCAGAGGTCAGCGACTGGTCACCGGCTGGTGTACGAGCTGCGAACTGGCTAGCAAACCGCTGGCTTGCAAACGCACTCACCAAGCCCGTATGTTGCATTGCACTGTAGTGATTATTTTGGGTAGCATTAATATAGCATGGAGATTTGCCCGTTAAGCTGGCTGGACGTCACAGCGTTTGTGTTTTGGAGAATTGGTGTTACAGCACTGAATATGCTCTCGCGCAGGTGTATCACGGTGGGCTTAAACGATCGCATTCAGACATGTGTCTAGATGCTTAACCCTAGATTGGCATCCAATATTGCAATGCTTCCATGATACCTGGGGTCCACCCTTCTAGTCGAGGGGCAGAACTGCTGGCATGATGCAAACAAATGGCGATGAACCAACTGCTGGGAGGTGCCATCGGGCAGTCGGTTGATGGCAGGCACGCGTCGCAGGGACGCGGCCAGCGGCTTTTGTTACGTGAACGACATCGTGTTGGCGATCAACGAACTTCGAGGAACATTCGCCAGAGTTATGTACGTCGACTTGGACATACATCACGGTACGGCTGGCAGGGATCCGTCTGTTGGGCTGTGGCGGGGGAGGTGAGGTATGCGTGTGGCTGGTGTGGGCTTTGTCTCTGACGAGATTGGAGACCAGCGCTGCTTAGCATTTGCGCTACGGTGTAGCAGAGGTGGTATGTGTATGCTAGTGTTGTGGTTGCCGGGCTTCCTTCGTCGTTATCTCAAAGTGAGCATTGCTTATGCGTTTTTGAAAGTAGAGGCAGTCTGCTGTTTTGTGCTATGCTGTACACAAAGCCGCGAAGTCTGGACACCATTGACTCTTTCACCTTGTGGGGCCATCTGTCACTCTTTATTCCATTTAAAGCCATTTTCCCCAGTCAAAGGTTCTGGTCTTTAGGCCATGGTGGTTGCGATGTACTTCGTTCGTTTGCCGCATGTTTTATTTGTGGCAACATGTCGCCTGTGTTCCAGTTACTCCTTCCCAATGTATCTCCCTTGGTCTTCACATCCATTTTGCCTAATTATTTGTACATTTGGCAGGCGATGGGGTGGAAAATGCGTTTATGTATTCTTCGAAGGTATTCACGCTGTCCATCCACCATTACGAAGATGGCTACTTTCCTGGCACAGGTAAACGCGGCAAGCGAGCGATATATGTATGCGGTCGTACCTCAGTGGCCACTGCCACGCGCCGTAGTAAGTTTGAAAACCAAACACGCCCAGACTGCCTCAGTTCTGTGTTCGGCCCAGCAGTGGCCCGCGGCCCTACGACAGATGTTTGGGCAGATGGTCGCAACACCTCTGCCTCCCGGCGCGAGTCCATCTGGCTGTCCTGACCTGGGGGCGGGGTCGGGCCTCTTCCGGCCCCCTGAACCACCCGGCCCTGCAGCCTCCCGCACCTCAGCGCGCGACCAGGCCTAGTTTCGTGGGCGGTACATCAGCGAGCGATGCTTGTTTACCGGGACGTAGCAGCAGCTTAGATCGCGACATTAACGATGATGTTGACGGCCATAGACATCATGCATTGGCTTCGTGGCCATTCGAACGATGGCTGGCACCGTCGGTTGTAATCGGTGTAGAAAACCCGCGCTTTTTCAACAGATAACTTGCGTCGCACAGCACTCACCAAAGCTATTTTTGAAAACACGTCACCTGCCCAGGGACAGCTTTAAATGCGATGATTTCACCCTGTCCATCGTATTTTTCCAGGAAGCATGGATGACGTCGGATACGGTCGTGGCCGATACTTCTGTTTCAATGTTCCGCTGAAGGAGGGCGCCACCGACGATACGTTCTACACGGCGTTTGACAGGTAAGCTTACTTCGTTTCCCTGCAGTGGTTACGCCTGGTTCCTTCAGTTCCTTGTGTGAACACATGCGTGTGTCCAAATGTGTTTAATCTCAAAACTCCCGGGGCTACATGCGACGATCTAAGCCGCATTAACTGATGCAAGTAAACGTCACTTTGTCCATCGTCACCGGACGTACGGGCCGGAAATGTCGTGACGGAGATTGTCCTGATGATCTTTGACTGACATCTCGGTTCGGTCAATTTTCTTCCGGGATGTTTGTGATCACGCCGAGTTATCCGCTTCCTCCTGTTGTTTTTGTTCGTTCGTAGATGTTATTTATACCCAATATAAATGCGACATAAAATATTTCACAATCTTATCCGTGCAGCGAGGAAAACTTGTACTCCCCGCTGCAGCCCTTACGTTCAATCCTCACAGTGGCTGGGCACTTTGTCGTAGCCAACCAATGTCTCCGATTCCCAGTCCTTACGTGCTCGGGTGACACGATGGATTGTGTTCGCGTCAAGTCATTATGCCCCATCCCCCTCTCTCCCTCGCCCAGCTGGGTTGTCGTCACGTGTTTTGTTAGCTGGACCTCAGCGCGATCGCGTCACCCTGGTGGCCGCGCCAGATGGCTGTGACGTTACTCCACTGACGGGGACGGGCTGTGACTCGGCGGCGCCGGCCGTCCCGCCACGCCCCTCCGGTCTCGGCCTCGCCGCCGGTTCACCAGTCCACTGTCGTCGCCTCGTCCCCGGGTCACGACCCGGCGTCCCTCCGCCGATCCGGCGTCGTTAGGTGACGGTCGGCCCCGCTGCGGGCAGTGCGGTGACGCCGGTGCTGACCGCCTTTCGGCCGGACGCGCTGGTGTGCCAGTGCGGCGCCGACGGCCTGGCCGGCGACCCGCTGGGCACGTTCAGCCTGACGCCGGCCGCGCTGGCCCGCTGCGTGGCACGCCTGCTGGCCGCCCACCGGCCGATCCTGCTGCTGGGCGGCGGCGGCTACCACCCAGCGAACGCGGCACGCTGCTGGGCGCAGCTGACGGCGCTGGTGCTGAGCCGCCGGCTGCCTGACGATATCCCGGAACACCAGGTGAGGCGGCAGCCGTGCTCCCGGAACACCAGGTGAGGCGGCAGCCGTGCTCCCGGAACACCAGGTGAGGCGGCAGCCCTGCTCCCGGAACACCAGGTCAGGCGGCAGCCGTGCCTCCGGACGACCAGGGGAGGCGGGATTCGTGATCTCGGAACACCAGGGGAGGCGTCAGCCACTTGCGATAGTACCAGCAGCGACCAACGCACATTGCACAGCGTATGCGATTTTAATTGAACATTTTGATATGCTATTGTTTTTTAGTACTCTGTACCGGTGAAAAGACACGTGACAACATGTCCAAAGGTCCGTTCCAAGACATGTGCTACCTTCTTCAGTTCTTCATGAACTACGGACCCAGCTATGATCTGGCTGTAAGTCCAGGCTTAAGAAAGGACTACAATACTGCCGAAGATATCCAGACTATCCGCCGGAGAGTCAGTGGTGAGATGCACCATATGGATGTGAAAGATTGCTCTCGGGGGTTAAGCAGACCAACTATATTCCTTTTCTTTTTTGCTATGGTTCTGTCGTTCTTGGTTTCAGCTGAATCCATATTTTTTCGTGGCACCGTGTTTTATGATGTTATGTCAATTAATTCATCCCGCAAACCGGTCATAGCGTTAAGATAGTCGTAGTGCCCACGGATCAGCACACCAATAGTACCGGTTTAAAGCTCCAAGCAAATATTTATCATGAAAATGACCAGTTTTCCCGCCAATGTTTGGTTTGGCTTGCTAATAACTGACACCTGTACCAAATGTACGAGCAACCAAAGCGCTATCTAGTCCTTCACGTCATGTGATGTTCACCTCCTCCAGAGAACATGCAGAACGTGGAAGAAGCCGAAGTCCTGAGCATTGGGGCGTCAGAAGCGAGGCAGCGGGGTGACGGCTACCCATGTAACGAGGCAGCCTGCAGTGCGCCGCTCGGTACAAGACTGTGATGCCCATATCATGCTTGCCATCCAAATTTGCCAGCCTCTATCCGCTTGTGCCGTTCTGTTCCTTTTCGGGTCAGAGCGCCGCAGGCATTCAGGTGCATGCTTATCGTTCTTCACCGCGCAAACAACGTCGAGTCATCCCTGGTGATGCTGCGAAACATGATATGCACGCGCGGTGATCAGGGCCAGAAATATACCATGGAATCGTTGGAGATAATTGTATTCATTATTGACGTCCGTGTATTTGGTGTGGGCATATACAACACCAGGGTATGCCTGTGTACGTATGCAATAGATTCTATCCACCTAGATTCTGTTTCCACCGTAAAAGCGAAAGATTTCACTGCTCACGGCGTTGTTTTCTAAATCCTTTCAATATTCTGTTTTTTTCGAGGGATCGGGACGATGAAGGCTGATGGGTGTTGCCAGACAATTTAAAAATCGCCAACTCTGTTCGCCCTCCCGGTCGCAAGTTTGTTTTCGATTTCTGTTAAGTTTCCGACTGCAGATTCGGGCCCACTGCAATGTAATGTTTTCTTTGCGGATTTGGACCCCACATTTCCAGCACACGGCCCGGGCAGGTGACCACGACATCTGCCAAGAGCGTGAACAAGTGGGTGCCTCCGTGCCAACTGATGCAAAGAAAAAGTGGTGTATTCTTGCCAGGACTGGAAGAAATGCCTTTTAACCAGGCTCGCTAAAACGGTGTAGGAATGCCCGTGTCTAGGGGTCTCGAACGCGCGCCGCGGCGAAACGCCTGACATCATCAGCGAAGGCTGGTTCGATGCATTGGCTACGGCGCAAGCGTGGAAAGGAAGGGTGGCGGATGAGGGAACAAGGAAAGCTGCTCCTCCCCCACACTACTCCGATTAACATTTCATTAAACACGTGGCGGTGCATGGGAAGAAAGTGGGGCACATATCGAGTTTGCCTACCCTCCTCCATCCCATCCCATCCCCCGTCCCATCTCGTAAAGCCTTCCCCACCAATGTTGGGGTGAAAATGACACGTTTCCCGGAGGGTGCGTGATTTCCTTTTTTTGCGACGAGGTGTGCAGTATTGCTTCTGTACTAGTTGGAACGCGTGAGTTGGCGTGAGGGTAACTGCGGGAAAGGCGCTTCTCAGGCAGATATATCAGCATTCCCGCAGAGACTCTTAATAGCCAAGGGAAACGCATTCGGTGCATTCCGCTTTATCTGCTGTTTGTAATGCTTGCTTGCGCCTTTGCTTAGCTGGGTTCAGACGTCTTCCGTTGGTGCGTCCTTTGTAGAGTTCTGCGAATGAAGAGACAGAGAGTCTTGGAAAGGACAGGATGAACGGGACGGGAGGGCAGCACGAAGTAAGACGCGGTATAATGCTAGAGACAATCTGTCGGAAACCGATCCTCACAACAGGTTCGGCACTGCGAGTGCTTGACCAGAGCTTGGAACCGAGGTGGTCCAAAACCGTGCACCGCCAGCACGTGGCTGCTGTACTTGCTCGCTTGGAGCGACGTTCAAAAATGAGAAACTTTTCGTGAAGAGCAGGGGACCAAGGGAGAGTGTCAAGGTGAGCTTCAATATCGCAGTTCCGGTGCTTGTTTCGCCATCTTTAACTCAATGGTTTGGCCCGCTCTCCCTACAGCTCGCCGTCGTGCTTAGTTTTCGACGCAATCAGAACAAAACGCAACAAGACGGAGACAGCTTTAGGCCGTCTCCGTCTCCATTTTCTCTTCTCCACACAACCAAAACGGCTATTCCGTGCTTATCTCCAGAATGGTAGCATCTGCGACCGCTTTCTCAGGCCATGCTGTTGTCCCTGCTGAGATCGCACGAGGGTTCTGACGCTTCGATTTCCCCATGTAGCTGCACTGCTCTCTTTTGCCGACGCCCCATACCAAAGCCTCCGCAGACTCTGTCAACGTGAGTAGCGAAAACCCGGTGACCAGACCGAGGATGCCGCCTATGTTGGCCAAAAGCGTGCTCTGCGTGAAGGCGAGCGCCTCCTGGACCTCGTCGGCAGCCAGGTCCAGCGTCAAGAACACCTCCGTAAGGCACCGAGACAAGGTAACGTTGATGCTGTCATATCCTCCCGTCAGGCTCTCCTGGTGTAGGCTATAGGCGACCCCGCGGCATGCGCTGGGGCAGTCGCAGCCGCGCAAGTCTTCTGCCAGGCTATTGGGCACGCACTGCGCCACTGCCGGTATGGTCGCCAAAGGTAGGGGCGGCGGCGGTATAGCGCCTCTGCTCCGTGAAGAGGCGGTACGTCGCCGACGGTCACCGCGGGCTTTGTTCGCGGCCTGCCTCCCGATCGCTGCCGTCGCGTATGAGAGGTCCTCCAGTCGGGGCCGGCTCCATGAGGAAGCCTGTCGTTGGCAGGCCGGGTCCTTTAATTGGTAGGGAAGGGCCGCTCGTTTCTTCCCTCGTTCTGACTGCACGAGCCTTGAGCACACGGGCAGGTGGTCGAGGGGGCCCCGCATCTCGGGCAGAAACGCGTCTTGAGACACCATGTGCGGCAGCCGACAGCCGATACGTGCCGCCAGCCGCCGCCACTGGCACTCCTTCAGACAGCGGGCCACCGAGTAGCCCGGCTCCTCGCGACAGGGCTGCCGGCGCACGTTGACCAGCCGCCGCAGGCGCGCTGTCACACGGTAGCCGGTGGCCCTGCCAGCCCGCAGCTCGCGGGTCGGTGTCACCGGCACGGGCATGTCGAGCCGCGGCGCCGGAAGGTCACCCACGCTCGGTTCCTCCGGCCCGTGCACGTACAGCCGGTAGGCCACCTTGTCGCTGCTGCCGGTGAAGAGGATGGGCACGTGCACGTGCAGTCGGGCCGAGAATGGGCTGTGGGCGCTCTGGTGCAGTGCCGCGCTTGGCTCGAACGTCAAGCAGCGCATCGGCCGCCACCTCCGCTCGCCCAGATGCAGAAAGAAACGCTGCCGCCAGATGCCGAGCGGCCCCGCCAGGGGTATGCTGCTGATTTCTCGGTGATCTCTGATAATCTCCAGCTGGCCATGGCTATTGGGCAGTATCTCCAGTGTGGTACGGTTGTAGAACGCGGCGATCGAGAGCGAGCCGTTTGCCAGTTGGTGGTACAGGTCGATGATCAGGCCCTCCGCGAGTCGATGGCCGGGGCAGAGAGTGAGCCGCGGGAACGGAGCCACCCGCCTTACCGTGGTGGAGCTGACCGGCTCAGCACGGTACTCCAGCACCTGCGTCCACACTAGGGCCAGCAGCAGCAGCAGCAGCGCTGTGCGGGTCGTCCACCGCAGAAGGATGCGGACGTCGCCGCCCCACCGGCACCCGCGTGCACCAGCACCCATCTTGGTCACTGAAGCGGCACTGAAGACCCTCCCAGGGGTCTTATCAGCCCGCCCGCGGTATGCTATCCCCCGGCATTGATCTGCGACACTCTTGCTGAAATATGCCGCTGTCTAGCGATTGCAGTGGTTGCTTGAATGGAGCGCGACGGTCCAGCGGAGGTCGATACCACGGATGTTGGTGAACCGCCACATGTGTTATACTTCACATGGTGAAGTATAGTAGCCTACTGACCATCACCGAAAGGCCAGGTCGGCTAATGGGAGCCGGTGGCGTCCGAAGACGCTTGTACTGGTGGATTGATCGGGTGATTTGTCATCCTTTGCTGCTGAAGGCCCAAGTATAGGAGAACAGGAACCAATGTCTTGGAAATTCTGCAGAACTAATCGCTGCACGCTTGATTACATGTATAAGAAGCAGCTAGCGGATCTCAAAAATGCTATGTATTTGAGCCATGCAGCACGTCACTCCGGCTGGCTTCCAACAGCGTACACAGCTCGGTACCCTGCCCTCCAAGCTACGCGTCCCCTCGGCATTTTCCCTGCCCAACACTGCTGTCGCAAAAACGTTTCCTTCTCCGCTGTTCCTCGCCCCTTGCACCCACTTCGCCGCTTCCGCCGCGCACCAGATGAAGGTTTCCCTTAACATTCCCCCCAGATCCAACGACCACAAACTCAATCAGCAGGTCACACTCCCGCCAGATCCTGTGCGAACGCCGCAGAGTGAATCAATGCTCGTCGCACATGTCGCAGACGTGTGGTCTGACCAGACTGCGACTCCTCCTGGGCTCTCCGGCGGGAGTGCCCTCTCCTCTCCCCTGTAGATCCCCTCTTCTTCCTCGGGGGACCGCCCGCTGCCTCCTCCTGCGTCACGTCGCGGACTGCTCTGTCCGCCACAGCTGGCGGCGCTTCGACTTGGCCGTCATCTTCCCGCCGTACCGGCCAGCAGCCGCAGTCGTCGGCGTCTTCATCGCCTACCTAAGTACTTGGTCCGGTCTCCTTAGCTGGCGTTTCACGCGTCGGGGCGCTGCCTGCTCGCAGGTCACGCACGTGACGTGGCACCCCGTCTACTCCTACAGTTTGAGGCGATACTACGCGGGTCACGGTTCCAGTCGCGCTAGGGGCGTCACATCTGCGACTTGGGTCGCGAATCCACACCTGATCGCCGACACTGGAATAGACATGTCACAGCCCCGGGATCGTGCTCGTTCTTGTCAATGCCGCGAACTCTCGCCTCATATGCGTAGAGAACGTTCGCCGGTGCCGTACCGGCGCTCACGTCGTCCTTAGGCGTAACGCTATACCAGTACACGGCGTCCAGCACGGGGCAGCTGGTGCGGGCCATCATTCGCTTCACCGTACGGTGACAGCGCTCCACTACGCCGTTTCCTGATGGCTGATCCGCATTTCGGAACCGCACCACGACGCCCCACCGCTCCGCAAAGCTTCCAAAAGCGTGGCTGCGGAAAACTGTCGCGTTATCGGTCAACAGTTCCGTCGGTGCTCCTCTCTCACGGAACACCTGCTCCAGCTATTCGATGACGTTGGCGCTGTCCTGGCAGATCAAAGTCAGACCATGGCTGTCAGCGAAGGCAACATCTAGGGAATCGTTCAATCTAATGCAACGTATTTGACATTATGCCATACATCTCTGAGATAGTTTCCAAGGCAAAAACACAATTAACACCACCTTAACCCTCCTCAGGGAAAATTTCTTAGACGAGGCCTTGCGCCTCTGTGACTTCGCACATCACCGACAATACATTTGTGAAATCGCTTTGCCTGTTTGTCTTAATACGCTCGCAATATGCAGGCGTGGTGCTAGTGGTTTTGTCAGTCCACATCACGTTTATCGCGTATTTTTACGGTAATATACCGTTCGCTGTGGCGGACTTCGATGGGGGGGGGGGGGGGGGGGCATCAACGCCAGCTCTTGGCTAGCTGGATACATGAACTGCTGTTAACCTGCTGAACGGCTGCTGAGAACTGCGGCTGCTCTGTTCTGGAGGACAGACAGGTGGAGGACTGGTCCTGGTCCCTCGGAAGTGTCATGTATGCCATGAGGCTGGCACAGCAATCAGAGGCTTCCAACAAAAACAGCTGGTGCTGCTCCAGAATCGTCATGCTTAGGAAAACAGGCATTGTACCATATGGGTTCGTGCTATTCGACTCACACTTCACCTTAAGTTCTGCCAAAATTTACAGCGGGAGTTTCCTTTGCCACGGTTGTTGCTAATTCCGTGGTAAACATACGGCGAAAACAAGCCCGTTTTACCGGAATTCATTTCTCTGAACACTTGCGGACAAACACTAGCAAATTAAGTTTTGGAATCGTGGCAGGAGAAAGAAATGGCTGCATTCTTTTTAAAACTGAGACTGACAGGGTTTGCCATATTAAGAGCAGCTTTTGTTGCCATCAACCGCAGGCCAACCAGTGCAGGGGCAAATTGCGAGTGCGTAATAAACAGCAAAAAAAACATAAAAAAACAAAAAACAGCTCTATACAAAATAATGTATCGACGTAATATCGTATTCCCTCACAGACAGCCGGCAGCTGTCTTGCTAAGCTCCAGCCTATCTAATGATGACCGTGATTTAATTTTATTATTAGCATTGTCCTGCCAAAATAAAAAAAGCGCTCCACTTTTTTTCTCACGAAATATAAACGTTTTGCTTGATTACGCTCAGAAATGGCACCGTTGATATTCTGATGGTGTTATCATTGTGGTCACAGGCAAAACCGACTCAAGCCGGCTTTCATGCACATACTCTATGTAAGAAGCCTGATGTGAAGTCCTTCATGCAATTACTCGAAGAGAGTGCATGCAGAGATTGCATTGTCCACAGTCCACTGTCTGCGCCACATCCCGGCAAAAATCGCTTCCAAGCTCGCACAAAGTCACAAAAAAAGATTTATACCGGGATGCGTCTCTCAAAAAGGCCGTGGCATCAAGTTATATCGCTGCCTGCAGCCGCTGACATGTTCTTCCATTCACATTTCTGCACTATTATTCGGCGCAGATGCCCTCATATTAATCGACCGCGGTAAACGACTTGACATAAAATCAGTTGTTTCAGTAAAAAAAAAAACTGTGCACATGAGCTATCATTTACACCCAGGACGTGGGATGGTGACCCGATATACTAAATATTGCTTTTTCAGGGGTAAATTTCAGCCAAATATTGCTGCGCGGCACAGTGAGCCACGGTGTCTCCCGCAACGAAACAGAGAAGGTAGCAGGAAAATGGCTCCGGCGGGAGGGACTGCGACGACGCCAGGAAACACCGCGCCGACAATGACAGCAACATCAACGCATAGTATACGTTGAATAATTTAGTGGTCATCGCATCGGATATGACCACAGAAAAGTGTACGCTTTGTGCAACGGTGTTGTTGCCGAGGCAATTTCGGACAAAGACAAGGTGAATAAATATTGACCTGGCTCATTATTGATGATGTATAGCTGTCTGCCTAGAATGACGGCGCTCCAGCAATCAGATGGAATTTGACATTTGAGATTTGAGAAAGAGCAGATTGGTGAAGCCCAACTGGGACCCGTCGGGGTTGGTCGTTTGGGTCCCATCCGGGCTGTTTATATGGGTTCAAGCTAGAAATACCTATATGGAACCCAGCTAAATACGCCCACGTGGATCTGCATTGGACAGACCAGATGGCCCCATATGGCTGTCCATCTCGAACTCACATAGGTCCCAGTAAGACATGCTGCATGGGCGTCCTTTAGCCTGAATTTGACCTCAAAAAGGGCCTTGAAAGGCTAGGACTTTTTGACGGATACTAGTTTATGCGGGGGTGAATATTTTGACGCTTGAAAAGTTAAAATCAGCCGACATTATTCGTGATGTGGAATTCACCGTCCTTTGAGCGTAAATTTGACCTTAAAAGATGATCTCAAGACGCAAGGATGCTGTGATGGACGCGTTTCTTTTGTGGTGAATATCATGATGCTCGAAAACTTGAAATCGGCCAGTAATTTTTCGTTATCACGGAGTCCCTCGTCCTTTGACCTTCATGCCAACCTTGAAGGTCACACGATAAAAACGTAATTTTATGTTCTCGTGCCAAATTTGACCATCAGACGCGTTTTCGGGAAAATCGGAACTCATTGCTGAGTAAGTCGCTGAATTCCCCAACCCGACTGCTACACCGAAATTCATGCGCATTATGATTGATAGACGAGACGACATTTAGTCGCCACAACCACACCACGAAGATGCCGCTAGCTCAGCGCTGCTAACTTTTAGTACATCACGAATCTGGTCTTAACCCCGATCCTGTATCTTGTGTGTTTGGTACTGCTAGGCTACACTTTCGAGTACCCAATGTTCCATTACCCTGGGCTTACCAAGATACGTAGGTACTTTACCTACCGCCCTGGGCTTGCCAAGATACGTACCGTATCTTACCTACCTGCCCTGGGCTTGCTAAGATACGTACAGTACCCAACATACTGCCGTAGGACGAACATGCATCTAATAAGCTCCATCGTATTTGCCTTCTAAAGACGTCACCGTACTGACTGCACACAGGCTCCACCATAATCCTCACATAGGCTGCACCGTACTCACCTCCAGTGGCCTACACCGCCTCGCCTCACACAGGCTCCACTGTGCTCACCTCACACAGACTCCACCGTACTCGCCCCACACAGGCTCCAACGTACTCGCCTCACACAGGCTCCACTGTGCTCACCTCACACAGACTCCGCCATACTTGCCCCACACAGGCTCCAACGAACTCGCCTGACACAGGCTCCACTGTGCTCGCCTGACACAGGCTCCACTGTGCTCGCCTGACACAGTCTCCACCGTACTCGCCTCACATGGACCGGAAGTTCTGCTTTGTTTTGCCCATGCTGGGGACAAAACTTCGCAAAATACTACTCGCGGGAAAACTGTCTGAGTAAAATGTACCAAATGATCATGAGGGCGCACAGCTGCCTACGCACTTAAAAAGGCAGCGCTCCTTAACGGGATGCTCGTAAGCACGTGGAATGCCTTGCTTTTGTAAGGAATAACGTAATGCAAACTGACGCGCACTCCACCATGATTAAACGGCAGACCGGTTGCATGTTCTCTGTGTTCCCGGTGTCATAGTCACCCATGATTTGACGCCAGAAGTGCCAAACATGTGAGACCATGGGAGCAGGCGGGCGAGAGCACGCCAGCACAGGCTTAGGCTCACAACCGAGGCAAGCCACCGCCCACGAGCACATACGCCGCCAGAAATCGACTATACCGAATTAAGTAGACTTTATTCTTTTCTATGCAGTCAACACGATTCGTAAAAATTTGAAAGTCGGAGACGGATAAAGCATTACAAACTGTTCCACGAAACGCAAAAAACATCCATTTGGCACCGGAGCTTGACAATCACGTCTGTTCGAACGAAATCCTGCCCGGGTCAAAGCACCATTAACAGCTTCAAGACAAGCACGATATCAAAGGCAAGCGCAGCCATTCATGAAGTCGTCAATGATAAAACATCAGCGGAAGTCGCATTCATATCGAGCTCCACGAATAATACGAACAACTCAGACGTAAATCGCCCACAAAGACCACGTAGAAAAGAGACGGCGAGACACAGTGTAATCATATTGCGAGGAATAGCAACCACCAGCTGCGCTGGACTAGAAAACACGTCTTTCCTCCTCGCTGTCGGAGCGCCAAGCGGGTGCCGCCACGCCGCGGCCGGCGGACGCGCGGGAGGCCCGGGGCCGGCCACACACAACACATAATGACCGGCATTGGCATGCACAAGCAGTGGCCGAAGCAGGGACAATAGTCGTCCCGTTCTGCCCAGACGCCGCGCGCGACAGCATGCTCCGTCCACGCGGCACGCCAAAAAACCAAAGAACACACCCGGGCCGGCGGCGCTGTGGCTGGTTACTGAACACACCGCTGCGGTGGTGTCGGGCCGGCGGGCCGGCGGCCGCCCCGCGCCGCAGGACTAGAGGCGCCCTCCGCCGGACGCCGGGGGCGCGGGGCGGCCCAGCCGGCCAGCCCACCCACTACCGCTTGCTGATCACCACCGGCTGGTAGCTGGCAGCGTGGGCACCAGGACGTGAAGGCCGTGCTGCCGTCCCTGGCCACGAACAGCTGCAGGCCGGATGCTGCGGCACGAGGGACGGCAGTGAGCAGCGGGCCTGGCGAGACGGTGGTACGGCACAGTACAGCAGAGCACGAGCGGAGGGGGGGGGGGGGGCGTGAGAGAGAGCAGGAGCGAACCTGGCGACACAGGTGCGGCACGGCACAACACGAGCGGAGGGGGTCAGGAGCGGACCAGGAGAGACACAAATACGGCATGTCACAGCACGACCTGGAACGAGGCCAACAACTCCAGCCAATAGCGCCAATGCGAATTCACCCAGTACTCAGCAAGGACATCAACCCGGAGCCGGCATCGATACCAGCCACAGATACGTGCTTCGCCAGGGCAGCTGGTGACGCATGCATATGTCACCAGCGGGTCTCCGCCCGGCGCGCGCTAACGCGGCGCTGAGCGCAGCACACGGCCGAGCGGCGTCAGCGGACGGTCGGCAGCCGCCCGGCCGCACATAATCCAGAACCACCGCCGGGCCCCGCCGAGCAGGCCCTCATCACACCGCGTGCGGGAGCAAAGCGAGAGGAATGGTCCTGTCCCCTAAGGGGTTTCCTCCTTTTATCGCGCCAGCTTAACCCGCACATTACATGTGGTTTCCAGATCAAAGGCTTCAAACGCGCCGAGTACCGCTGATGGATACACAAAAACAAGTCGCCATTCAGGCGTCACACGACGGCCTCGCCACCATCGCGGCCACGGCGGCCCCGAGCAATCATGATCCGTGACGTAGCCAGAGGGGGGGGGGGGATTAATCGGGCCTTGCCTCCCCTCCGAGGCATTGGCAGTTCAGGACGCTCGTAGGAATGTCTAACAGCAAAACCGGCTTAAAGGCTACCTTTTGATGTTTTGACGTTTGGGCGTGGGGGTTTGGCGGCGACTCACTCTCGGCCGACTCGTCCGGGTCCGTGCTGAGCTCGGCGTTCTGCAGCAGGTCGTTGATGACGTCCTCCGGATCGACCCGCGTGGCGTCGAACCGCGAGCAGGCCGACGCCTCCTTCTTGCGCTTGTCGCCGGCGGCGGCGCGCTCCATCGAGTTGTAGTCCGAGAGGCCCGAGCCGCTGCTGGTGGTCCTGGCGACGCGGCCGACGTCAGAGTGCCGGCACACGACCAGTCACCAAGTCACCCACACACGCAATCGCCCCGGACCGACAGACACACAACCAGCCACCCAGTCAGCTGAGCGACCAACGAAACAAACAACTATCCAACCAACGAACAGACCTGTCAACAAGCCCATCAACCACACAACTAACCAGCCTACCAGGCAATGGATAAATCAAGAAAAAAAAACAGCGAGACAAGCAACCAGCAGTCAATCCATCCTTTCATCAAGCACTCGGTCAACCGATCAGTCAACCATCTTACCAAAACAACAAAGCACATGACCGAAAGGTGCCATCGAACGAGACATGGGCGGTGTTCTAATTTTGTTCTAAAAGCACTATGAAAAGAGGAAGATTGCACAGCTACGCTACGCTCCAGCTAGGATGAAACACCGGTATGGTCACGGTGGTGGTCCGTAGTCCTGGCCTAAGTGATGTTAGAAATTCGACTGCCGACACCAGAACCCCAGAATTTAATCCAGAGTGCTGTTTTTCCGACACGCATGCTAAAGCCAGCCATACGACGGCGACGCGGGGCTGTCGCAGCAGCCTAGGGTGGCTCTCTCACACTGCGACTGGGGACGGCGCGGCGTGCTCGGCCTCCCGGGAAGACCTGCAGGGCGGAGCGGCGCCGTTAATCATCACGTCGAAGCCTCTCACCTGCCCGGTCTCCGAGCTGGCCGCCAGGGTACAGACGCCTGTGTGAAGCTGAGATCGAACAAAACCGCCCGAAAGGATTGGTGAGCTCACTGAATGACCGCGGCTAGCGTCCCTCTAAACACTCGCCAAGAGGTGCCCGGATGGGACGTTCGACGCGATACTGAGCCCGCGGCAATCTTTTGATTGTGGGCGGCTGCTCTGTGAACACAGCTGATTCCACGACACAATCGGACGCGCACCGATCCGCGCTGGGGTGGTGTTTGCTTTGAGCTTTGGCGTGAGGAGTTGACTGAACAGAAAGGGCGGTGCAATCCACAATTCTCAGGCTTCCAAGCGGGCCGCATGAGAAAGGGACTTATTTGCACCTGTCGCTTCACGTGGCCTAAAATCACCACGCAAACCTACGGAACGCCAGTGAAGGTACTATGATGGCACAACTTGATGGATCAGTACGGCGAATGGAGCTATCAGCGTGCATAAGCGCAGGTAGCCTCGCCGGCTTCTCCCGCATCTCTCGTCGACTGCGTCCAGTCACACGGCTGCGCGCGGCGGTCAACGATCTGATTGTCACGGCGGTGTCGGCGACAGCGGCTGAAACCGCCCGCCTGCGCCGGGCACGCCTCGGGAGCCAGCCCGACGGGCAGCGGCTGAGACCGCCCGCCTGCGTCGGTGACGCCTAGGGGGCCGGCCCGACGGGCAGCGACTGAGACCGCCCGCCTGCGCCGGGCACGCCTCGGGAGCCGGCCCGATGGGCAGCGGCTGAGACCGCCCGCCTGCGTCGGTGACGCCTCGGGAGCCGGCCCGACGGGCAGCGGCTGAGACCGCCCGCCTGCGTCGGCCACGCCTCGAGCGCCGACCCGATGGGCAGCGGCTGAGACCGCCCGCCTGCGTCGATGACGCCTCGGGAGCCGGCCCGACGGGCAAGCGACTGAGACCGCCCGCCTGCGTCGGTGACGCCTCGGGAGCTGGCCCGACGGGCAGCGGCTGAGACCGCCCGCCTGCGCCGGTCACGCCTCGGGAGCCGACCCGACGGGCAGCGGCTGAGACCGCCCGCCTGCGCCGGGCACGCCTCGGGAGCCAACCCGACGGGCAGCGGCCACCCCTGCTGCTTAGTGCTTCCCAGTCCAGTGCTCAGCTCGGGCTAATCGTTCATTCGGAGCCAGAGTGGTCCGTTGGATACGGACACCTAGCACCGCAGAACCTGGGGCTGCACTCAGGACTCTGTCGTCGACCATCCGTGCCAAATAATGCACGTGTCTCATGACGACAGCTAGCCATTGCTTACGTGGCACGCGGACGAGGGACGGGCCCCCGGAGGCTCGCGTCTGAGTGCCCCCCTGCGCCGCGGCAAGGCTCGAGTCGACTGCAAGGGCGCCACTGCTCTTACTCTAATTGGAAAAGTCCCGCGCATGATTCATGGCAAATTAATTCTGAGGAGCTGTTTCAGGCACGGTCACGCCGCACCACCGCACTGGAACAGCTGGGACCGGCCGCGAGCCCGGCAACAGCCACAGACGGCGACGGGGGGAGGGGGGGGGGGGGGACGTGCGAGGAATCAGCCTTGCACCTTTGGGACGCGGAGCGGAGGTTGGCGAGGCGTGAGACGCCAGTGCTTGCGCCGGCACGCGACGCGGCGTTTACATGCGCCGACACGCGGGTACACGAATAAGCTGTCAATAACTCGACGCCAGCGCCGTCTCGCCGCTGCGGCGCTTCCTTGGGAGTGCGTGTATCGCTACCATCATCCTGCAGGTTCACACCGTCTTCACACCAATGACGTGGAGCCGAAGCAGAGGCCGGCGGCTTTGAAGTTGGGAACTGTGAAGCCAGTAGCCTTGCATTCTTAAAACGCGCAGCAAAATGAAGCCAGTCGCTCCGAGCTCTGTACGCGCGTAGCCGAAACAGAAGCCAGCGGCCTTGAACTTAGGAAACTTGAAGCAAGATCCACGAGTTCGCAGCCACAACGCCCAAGCCGAAGCCGAATCTTGGGTGCAAAGTCGTTTTGCGAAACCAAAACCATTTCCACGCCTGCTATAACTGTTTGGATCGGAAAATACACGAGTTTTGCAGATTCATTGAGAAGGGGTGCTAACAGATTCATTGAGACGTAGTGGTAACATCGCGGATGGGAGATTATTCAGACTGATGTGTTTGTGTTGTGCCAGTATGCACTCGACGTTTCAAGCAGTTAGCTATCCGGACATTGTTAGGTGATGATTGGTCCTGAAGTTGACCGGTTGGTCAGGCTTTCATCCATGTATGCGTCACAGCCTCAAAAAGAATGGGAAGCTCTATTTCAGCTACACCACGGGATTACTATTTTGAGAAGGAAAAGCGAAACTACAGTGAAAATTGCCAAACGGCCGAAGCTAGCGATTCAAAATTCCATGGAGCCAAAACCGGAACCTCCATTCAAAATCTGTTAGAAGCCGAAGCCTAAGCAGCTTTCAAAAATGTCATCACCCCGAAGCTGTGGCCAGCCGTTTCAAATGGCACAACGCTGAAGCCAAAGCCGAAGCCAGTCGTGGAAAATGGCTCAAGCCAAAGCGTCATGCAAAACCATTGGATAAAGATCGCAGCTTCGCCCAGTCAACACTGAAACCGAAGCCAGCTTCGTTCGCCTGCCTGCTCCAGGTGCCTCATCCCCCCCCCCCCCCCGTTCGTGTCGGTTTCGGTCGGTTCAGCTGTGGGTCACACGCCGGTGGTGTGGCGTTTTGGGTGGGTCAGCTGCCTTGCCACCGTGTTGCACCTGCTGTGAGTAATCCAGTTTTTACAGCATCCTACCTGACAAGGGTCACCTGCCAGCTTACATCGTGGCGGCTGATGCAGCCCTGGGTCACCTGCCGTTCCTTCCATGCCATCACACCTGACAAGTGTCACCAGCCGCCCCACAACACCCTGACCCCGTGCCGCCCGGGGCTGCCGCCCGGAGCCGTACCTGAAGTGGAATCACTCGGAGCTGTTGCGCCTGACTCTGTGCGTACCTGAGGTGTTCTGACCCACTGTCGTGGTAACTGGCTCTGTACCGTATTCCATGTGGTTAGACTCAGACCTGTCGCGCCTGCCTCTGCGCCGTACCCGGCGTGGCCTGTCGCGCCTGACCCTGCGCCGTACCTGAGGTGGCCTCACACGGAGCTGTTGCGCCTGCCTCTGCGCCGTACCCGAGGTGGCCTGTCGCGCCTGACTCTGCGCTGTATCCGAAGTGGCCTGTCGCGCCTGCCTCTGCACCGTACCTGACGTGGCCTGTCGCGCCTGACTCTGCGCCATATCTGAGGTGGCCTGTCGCGCCTGACTCTGCGCCATATCTGAGGTGGCCTGTCGCGCCTGACTCTGCGCCGTACCTGAGGTGGCCCGACTCGGAGCTGCTGCTCTGCCGGCTGTGGGACGGCTCCGACTGGCTCTGTGACTTGAGGCTGCCGTAGCCCGACTGGCTGCTGGAGTTGCGTGAGTGCCCGGGCAGCTCTGCCGTCTCGTCCGGAGGCGGCGCGCCCTCGGCCGCCTCGCCCGGCACCACGCCGCACGTGGCGCAGTCACCTGCCGCAGAGGCCGCCAGGTCAGCAAGGCCGGCGCCGGCGGCGCTGGGGGTCACGTCATCTCACGGCCACCGGCGGGCTGGCTGACACCCGCCCGGGAGGGGGGTGGGTGGGAATGGAATGAGATCTGGAGCGGGGCGGCCATTGTTGGCCGTTCATCAGCACGGGGTCGCGAAGGTCACACTGAGTCGCGGCGTGCGGCCTGACCAGCTGCTACTCTGAGCTCGGAGGTCCCTGATCTGGGACACGGCGACTGTTCGCCACCAGAACCCGGATTTCGTCCCTTTTCCACACCCGTTATTTGTATTCCTGTTCACATTTTAGCTTGTGCACTGCCCTCCATACACTGCAGTTCTGCACCGTCACTTTGCGGCTGTCGCTTTGTAGACATCAATACATTACGAACCCCATATGCGTAACACACTCAGTCACTGCCAAGTGATTAACCCTATGGGTTTTGGCATTATTCGCGAACCTTATGACGGCGCTAACTCGCTTGGAAGTGTTTGTGGCGATTGAGAAACAGCTTAAGAACACCGATTAACAACTGTGCCAATCTCAATCTACGTTAACCAACCTCGTCCATCGACTGCCCACCAAATGCTACTTCCTATACAAGCTGATTGCAGTATGTATAGGAAGCAGCTCGGCGAGAGACTTGGGAGTGTTAGACAAGGGGTTCGTCGTCCTTCAAATCCTGACATTCCATCACCATGTGGCGATCAAGGTCAAGAAAAATGGAATTGGTGAGCCGTTCATATCTGGCGATCGTGAGCATGATTTCCAGATGTAATGAACGTTAATTAGCTCTCAAACAATGTTGTGCAAGGTGCAATGACGCAATCAAACAATTACGTAACAAGGAACATACTTAGCGAATAGAGAAATTGTGTTGTCTGGAGCAGTTTTTCACTTTAAAGTACACCAGTAGTTCTAAGTACGCTTATTTCATCATATATCATGCTTGCTTCATTGCCTTCAAATTTGGAGCATTCTCTTTAAGTATTTCACGGTGCCTGCTAGACCTTTCAGTGCTCCATCTGTATCCAATTCCTTTTGTGGCTTAATATCTTTGTATACCTCGTTACGAGATCGAATTCAATACGGCTACATTACGCTGCCTCCTTTTACATCAGTTGGCAAACTCTCTGGCAGGCCATAGTAAATGACTGCTGTATTGTTTCGCTTACAACTGTCTTTAATCTCCCAGGGCGTCGCAATTTTTTCCATTTTCGTTCACCGTATCGTTGAATCTCACTAACCAGTCGCTTCCGTCTCTAAGGCCGCGTCTCTCTTAATGTAAATTTCGTCTCCTTTGAAGACCGTTTTGACTGTATACTTCTATCATCATACTTCTATCATCTATCTCAACATTGGCACTCATCATATCGCGTCATTGCTAGACCAAAACGTTCGCCCCAGGTAACGACCGCCAACACTTCCACTTCTTACCTAATAAGCCGTGTTATGTACACACGTACAGTCACCGCGATAGGCCACCATCCCCAGACTGTTCATGGAACTTTCTACTTGGCCGATGTCACCCATGGGCACGCCATCACTGATAGCCGCCGTTGCCGCCCACTGGCAATATGGTTGTCCAAATAATGAGATCCCCTCCAACACGATGCCAGACCCGCTATAACTCAGCCCGTGGCGACTGAGCCAGCCTTTACCATCAGCTTAACTGCGACACAGGCTATGCCGCTCCGCAACAAGACCCTGGAGCCCGGCACGGCCCAGCACGGCGCGGCACGTCGGCAGAGACCGGCGGCTTGGGACCAGCTCCCGGCCAGCCCTGTGCGTCCGCGGCCGCCGAGTACCTCTCGTGCACGGGTCCACTGCACTCTGAGCGCGTGGGAGTGGGTCCAGCGTCCGCCGGCCCCCGCCCGACGACGTCACCCCCGCCCCCTCATACCCAGGCCAGCCGGACCGTGTATTCGAGACGGCAGGGTCAGGGGTCGTCCGACGGCCGCCGTCGTAGCCGTGTGGAGCTGCAGCCTCGTCAGCCGGGCGTGACGCCATCTCAGCTCGAAACCCGGTCAAGCCCGCCGATGACGTCAAACTCACGCGGGACGCTGTCAGGTGACGTCACCGACGACGTCCGCCTACACTCCCCCGAGACGCTGTCAGGTGACGGCACCGATGACCCCGTCTACACCCTCCAGGGACGCTGTCAGTGACACCACGGACGCCGACAAGACAGCCGCATGTGATGCGGGGACGACGCCACAGCGAACCCTCCTCAGCAACGGCGATGTTGGCCAGTGACGCCATAGGAGGTCTCACTGACCACTAGGTCAGGTGGCGACGTCCCGACTGCTCTCCCAGCCGCCGTGACGTCATCTACCGACATCGCACTGATCGGCCCAGCCCTGCCCGGGGCTTTACTGGGTTATTTCTGTGCCCGGCCGAGCATAGCCCGATGCCGTATCCACGACGGGGCTCCATCACGGACCATCATGTTCCGACAATCATCATGGGACTATCATGGCGACTGTGACTGCCGCCTCCCTTCCCCTCGATCATACTTCCCGACGCATCTGCTCGGTGTCTGCTTCCAACAGACTCTTCTCACAGCTCAGCAAGGCCCGTTGTCATGCATTCATCTCAAAATGTAATAAGTCACCGCATCAACACATAATAACACATTAAGTTCAAGAGCACCACCAATCCAACGAAACGCGCCAGCCTCTGCGTCTCGCCCCATGAAGCCCCATCTGGCGGCGCCGACCTCTGCCCTTGGTGACGGGAGATTCCCCCCCCCCCCCCCCTGAAACCCTCGTCTGGCGGCACCGACCTCTGCCCTTGATGAGGTGAGGTTCGCCGCCTGAAGCCCCATCTGGCAGCACTGACCTCTGCCCCGGGTGAGGTGAGATTCGCCCCCCTGAAGCCCCGTCCGGCGGCACTGACCTCTGCCCTTGGTGACGTCCTTCAGCTGGAGACCGCCGGTGCCGGCGCGTACCGTCTCGACGGCGGCCGCCGCCGGTCCGCCGGGCTCGGGCGGCTCGCTCGGCAGGTGAGCAGAGCGCGGGTTCGGCCTGCGGACACGGCCACACCCGCTCAGCCCGGCCGAGGTCAGTGGCCGGCCGGCGGCAGACCGGCCGCAGCGCGTGGAGTCACCATCGCCGCCGGCGGAGACGCAACACCCCGGGCCGACCTCCGGACGGGGCCAGGGCGATCGCGGAGGCCAGGGCGGCGGAGAGGAGCTCCGGCTCGCGCGGCGCCGGCCGGGTCAGGCACAGCAGGCCGCCAGCTGCCGATGACGGCTCAGAGGATGAGTCATTGAGGCGCCTCATCTGCCACATCAGCCTGTAACTGTGTTGGCTATCCCGCCAGTCCAGCGAACCATTGGGAGCATCGGTGGCATGGAACGGGGACAACGTGTGCTACTGGACTTCGCTAGAAACGTTTTATCAAACAGGACAATTTGTGGCCCAGTGCGGTCCACTGAGAAAGAATATGAAACCGACCATTCGGGCAACGCACGTTTGACAACGATAAGGATCTGCACCGGGGCAATTCGCCGTCCAAAGCGAACCCACGCCCAGCGTAGGCGTGGCCGTGTTCTCTACGGCGCAGCTCCAGCACTCAAACCGGCTGCTGCCGCGGCTGGATCGGCGCGCAAGTCCAGCACTCAACCTGGCTGCTGCCGCGGCTGGATCGGCGCGCAAGTCCAACACTCCACCTGGCTGCTGCCGCGGCTGGATCGGCGCGCACGTCCAGCACTCAAGCCGCGCGAATGAAACTGGTGTGGATCGAAGGCGCGTTAGCGAAATTGAAAAATACTGGAACGGGGCGAATGAATGACACAGTCAATGGCGGTGCGCACTATACACATTTTCTAACAACCCAGATCTACGGCCAGAAATGCAACCGCACATCGTACATCTGGCGGCACGATCGTGCGCACTGAAGGGCAGAACTATGCGAGCAAAGCGTGCAAATGCGTGCTGACACATGGCGAGTTCCGTTTTCCTCACGCGCCAAGGCGCACCTTTCTTCCCAGCCAACCGCGCCGTGCGGGCGACGCTCGGTTCCCCCGTCCGGGCCGCGCTGGGCTGCCGGCACGCTGTCCCGCCGACTCCGTCCGCGCGCGGATCAGCGTGCGCCGGGTCGGCGGCGTACTCACGTGCGGAAGCAAGGGTCGCCGCTCAGCAGGGTCGTAGACAGCACCACCTTGAGCATGGAGTTGTCCTGGCGGTGGCGCAGGTCGTGCTCCTCCAGCAGGTAGCGCCGGCACTGGCCCACGCCGCCGGCGAACTCGGCCAGGTTGATGGTGGCGAAGCCGAGCTTCTGGTAGGAGCGGCCGCCCTTCGCCTCCTGGGTTGGGCAGAACGGTACGTCAGAGCGCCGGAGCGTCAGAGCATCAGAGCGTCAGAGCGCCAGAGCACAGAGCGTCAGAGTGTCAGAGCGGAGCGCCAGAGCGTCAGAGCGCCAGAGCGCCAGTGCGTCAGAGCGCCAGAGTGTCAGAGCGTCAGAGCGCCAGAGTGTCAGACCGTCGGAGAGCCAGAGCGCCCGAGCGCCAGTATCAGAGCGCCACAGGACGGTGAGGTGACGCGGCCCGTCGGGCGGACAACAGAGTAAGGGGACGCCGGACAAGCAGCGGGAGGAAGCCGCCGCAAATCACCGGGATGCATTCCGCACTGCACGTAAACAAGCGCGAAACGCAGATAACGACCGAGTGCTGCAACCGAGTGGATTGCATCGCTGCAAACAGTGTTTTGCAACACGACATTCCCTGGCGGTAGCCCATACTTCAGTGTCAGGGGAAATACGCGGAGTCAAGCCAAGGCCTCTCACAACGTGCCGCGATAGCGTTGGAGTTTGCTCCTCAGTTGTGGTGCACCTGGTGCAGTATTGGAACACGCTTTAAAGGGAGCATGCTTAATGTTTTCGGCTTTCTGCATTTGGATCTTGCAACAGCTTTGGTTTAATTATTCTTATCGATCCCATCGATGGCTGTGCGTGAACAAATACAATCATAAGACATTAACCACTCAGCGGGCAGGAGAGCGCGAACTGTACTGGCTTATATGTGGCGAGAAACTGCGCGCTAGGGATATGGCCATTGTTTTGGTTGCTAAGCAACGTAGAGCAATCACATTTCCTTAGAGCCTGGTGCAGCCGATTAATACGACAAATTTATTGTTCCTCATCTCAGTATATGTAGGCCGGCATGAATTAATCGCGGCGCATACCAGCTGACCAGTCTTACTATTATGCAACGCCATACACCCGCAGTACTCAACTGAATGTAACCGAAACATCAACGTCATGGCCGCCGCCATCGCCACGTCCGCAAGCTGCTGCCAGCTCTGCCAAGCGAAATCCTCGAAAACTCACTGGCTAGAGCTAACGATGCCTTCTCAATGATGCCGATGCGTTTAGTGGTGAATTTTGCTCGGGGCCTACCCCATAACCTCGTTTTTAAATACGAACCAAACAAAAGTTGGGGTCTGTGACAATATCTAATCAGTGAAAGCGAATTGGGAAAAACAAATGACACCGAAATTTTCATTTGCAATTCCCTGCCACCCGACGTGAACAGTTAAAGGTCTTAATTTGACCAGGCAAATTTCTTTTAAAGCGACAATGACAACAAGACCAGAACCGCTGCCATTGCCAAAACCATTCAATACAATGTTGCTACTTCGAAGGAGTGATTAAGACATACAAGTCACACACCTCTTACCAATCGACAACATCTTGGGAGCTGAGCAAATCAAACGTAATGACCACCGCAACATCTAGTTTACCTCCTGCGAGCCAAAACACAGGCGGGTGCGCGATGGAATATTACACCTCCTAGAACCTACCACCTTCACGGCGGAAGGGGCAAGTGTGTTCCCCGGGCAGTGCGTCCCGTGATTATCCGGCCACCGCACCTCTGGCAGCGGGCAGGCTCCCAGCCTCCTGTCAGCCGCGCACGCCACCTGGTCCGAGTCTTGGAGCCGCCTCACACGCTGGCGGCCAGCCGACCAGAGCGCATAAATACGCGGCTGGCGGAACCAAGGCCGCGCATACCGGCCGGTCCGGCGGCAGCGGCGCGGCCGAGCCTCCGGTGGGCATCGGCCCTGGACACGGACGCCCACAACGTTCGCCGAGCCGACATCGCTCGGCGGGCAAGTGAGCATCCCGGCTCGACTGCGACGCCATTGACCGGCCATTGCCGCCACGATCAGCGGAGATCGGCACAACGGGCCATCAGACTGGGCCGGCCGACCGACCACCGCCCGGCTACAGCCAGACGCGTCGGCTGAGGCATGCTTATTGTCAAAGTCTGGTGCAGACCGGGCCCGCTGCTCGGGCGCGCGGGCCCGCCCCACACAGCGGCCGGGTCACGCTGGCGTGGGTGGCGTGACATGTCATGAGGACGCCTCCCCACGCGGGCACGGAGTCACGCTGCCGATCGCTTCCGGTGGGGTCTCGGTAATGAGGTCCCCAGGGAGTCGTGCTGCAGGTAGCAGGCAAGGTCACCTGCCCCACGTGGGGAAACCGGGACAAGGACCGCCAGCGTTCTTTGTTACCGGAGCCCCATAGAAGCGAGATTTACACATGACGCAGTGTACAAAAGGATTACATCGCAGTGAGGACACCGAGATTGCCGTGTTTCATGCTGTCTAAATGTGGATTCTGAATGCCTCGCATATGCTCACTCTAATCATATAAATTCGTGAAGCCCGAAATCGTCCATTTCAATAAAGCATGAACACAGGATGCCGCATGACAACGGCGAAGGGCTGTGGCTGGAGCCGGACAGCCGGCACCAGGCGGGAGCGTCCTGTTCGTGCCGTTCGATGACCTGACATCGGACACCACGGCCAACTCGTGAGAAGGCCGACAGCCTGTTGACACGTCCAACCAAGAGCGTGGCTGGCCCCGGACGGCCCGGAGCGTGGCTGGCCCCGGACCGCCCGGAGCGTGACCAGCTCCGGACGGCCCCGGACGGCCCGGACCGTGGCCGGCCCTGGACGGGGTCAGACAGCCCGGCGCGTGGCTGACCCCGGACGGCCCAGAGCGTGGCCGGCCCCGGACGGGGCCGGACGACCCAGAGCGACGGCCGGCGAGACGGCCTCCGCAGTCCTCGCGGCCCCGCCGCAGGACGGCCTCCATTTCCAGACAAGGATCGCCCGGGACGTGACGCCCGGCACAAACCGCCGCCAATCAAACGAACGGCAGTCACGTAATGTTCGGCCCCATCAGCATGACAACGTGATGGACGATTCGGGCCGGCGGGGGCGGCGGGAAACGGGCACGAGGCTGACAACACCGGGTGCAGATTGACAGCGTGTGGCAGCGGGCCGCCGGTCCCAGCCAGCCTTCACACCGGACCGATGCGAGTCGAGCGCAGACGGAATGCCATCCGTATCAGATCCCGAGTTTCCCCGGCCCTGCCGTACGTCATGCGGGGTGACAGCACACGCACCCTCGGACTATTTCAAAACAGCCACATATGCATGTGAAACTGGCGAGGTCCAGCCCAGCCGGTCCGGGCGCGCCGGGATTTCGTCCGGGCCGGCGCCGCTCGCGCACGGGTTTCTCTCTCGGCGGCGGCGTATGCGTCGGCGAGCGGTTTCGCTTTCGGCGCCACGTGCGCCGGGCGGCGTCACATGGTCGGGCCGGCTGGCTGCGGCGGCCGCCCGTCACCGCGGCGCGTCCGACGGCCCGGCGAGGTCACAGGGCACCGGCCAGCCGGCGGCACAGGGCGTCCCCACCGGTCCGCAGCAGACCGGCGGCGGCTGGAGCGGCGACGCGCAGCTGCGAACGCCGCGTGCGGGGAGGAGGCGGCAGGACGCGGCGCCTGTCCGGCGGCCGTGGCGAGAGCCGGCGGCGCGCAGCGGCACTCCCGCGGCGTGGCAAGTGACGCGGCCTCAGTCGGACCGGCGGCGGCCAGCACGTGACGCGACGCTAGTCCGCAGAGGCCCGTCGGGCCTGACAAATAACGCTCCGGCCGTCAGCGGCGGGCAAGTGCCGCTCACCCCCGCCCCCTCCCCCCCCCACCCCCCACCCACGCCAGTGCATGTCGCGATGGTGCCTGACCAATGCACGGAGCGCGGCCTTTCATGCCGGCGCTTTCGCACACGTCATACAGTGAAAGCGCCTGAGTCCTACCCGCTGCGCTAGCAGCGGTGCGCCCGGGTTCGGGTGTCGGTCCGGCATGGCTTTCGTGAGAACATTCACGTGCCGTACATTAAGAACACTCACATAAGTTAAACGGCTGGTTTTAGTTGTCAGCGACGCGTTTTCTTCCTTCGACATGCTTTCCCGTCTAAAAGTGTTATGACTTCGATAGCATGGGTAGGTCAAAGGAATAAATACCTATGCACGAAAACAAAGCGCCTAACCCGCTACCAGCCGACTACGCTTCGCGTTAGCAGCACTTTCATGTTCGCACCGAATGCAGGACTCCTGCTTAAAACGGATCCAAAAGCCAAACACGGCTACTGATCATCCAATACCGCAGCCCACCGACATTTTCGTAGATCAATAGGCGGGAGTGTGTGTCGTCTGGTATCATTCCTTCCCGTCACATCGCCAGTTTACTGGCGAGCGCCGGGACCGCAGGCACTGACCGACTGCTCGCATGGCAGGCAGCCATCAGCCATGCTCCCAATGCCGCCAAGGCCGTCAGCGCATGGCCACAGGCAGCCGGCGTGCCGGCTCGGCCGGCGGGTGTAACACAGACGGCGCTATATGGCCGTGCCAGGCGGCTCGGCCCGAGTCCTAGCCACCATTTGAGGCGTCCGCGTCGCCCATGGACGGACGGCCGACCGGCGCACCGAGACAACGATGGTGACGCGGTGACGTTTGTCCCCCCCCCCCCCCTTCCTCCCAACGCCTACCACGCCACCCACCTCAGGGACGCCCGGTCCCACCTACGTCCGCGCCAGGGACCAGTATCCATCCTGTGCCCTCGTCAGGGACATCGTCGTCGGTCTGTGTCCTGTCAGGGACACCGTCGTCCGTCCTGTTCGCTCCTCAGGGACACTGTCGTCTGGTCGTTCCCTCTGTAGGGACGCCGTGTCCCGTCCTGTTCCCTCCTCGCGGGCCAATGGCGCGGTCGCAACAGGGCGCTGGTGTGCAGCCCAATCGCCGCGTGATAGCCCAATATCGCCGCTGGCGCCCGCCCCGCGGTCAGCATGGCGCCCACCGACGACCCCCGGCTTGATTTCAGGGAAAACATATTTGCCGTGCCTCCGACGGTGACGGAAATAACGATTTAGAGGACGCAGACGCCACGGTCGATGACAGCACATCATGACGAGGGGTGGCGCGCGGACCACCCCGTCTGTGAGAGGCAGGCACCTCTAAGATACTGAGAGCTGCACTGCGAATTTACGCGGAACACCCGCGCCTCCAGCCCAGACTGGCCACGGGACATTGCGCCCGTCCCGACGGCCCGCCTGGGCCGCCCGTCACGCAAGCGAAACCCGTCGCACGCCCGGGACGCGCCGGTTGCCACACTCGCCGGCGGCCTCCGAGCACGGCGGCAGGTCACGTGTGACGCCGGCGTGACGCGATACATCACGGGGCCGGCCGGCGCGGGTGTCCAGACCCGGCCCCAAACCACACCGATGTCGCACCGACCGCCGACCATGCCAACGGCCCTCCCCGTCACCTTGCTCGGGAGGCGCCCACCGGGTCCGGCCGGCACGTGGGGGCGGCAGCGTGGTGCGCCCGGCGTCGCCGATCCACCAGCCAGCGGGGTGCCGGCCTCGCCGTCCGGTGGCCGCCCGCCGCCACGGCGTCGCCGGCCGGGTGGCGCGGCGGCCGACTCACCTTCCTGACCGAGATGCGCAGCAGGCACGGGTCCAGCACGCCGGTGGTGCTCGGCGCCGACAGCTTGGCGCTGAACGACATGCGCGCGTTCCACTTGACCGTGTGGTCCCGCACCTCCTCCCTGGGGACATGGCGCCGGCGTCAGCGGCTTCAGGGCCGGGGCGAGCGGTGGCGGTGGCGGCCAGGCGCCACCGCTGGGTCAGCTCTCTCACGTCGATGGTCACAAACCCGACACAAACACGCCAACGCACACCATCGGGGCTGGGGAGGTTTGCACACCACGTGCGTCAATCCACCGAGCTGGACAGGCCTGACGCTGGTCGACACGTCATCGGCGGGGGCGACAGGGGCCTGGGGAAGGGACAGGGGCTAAAACTCTCAGAGGTCGCGGGGACAGGGCACCGGATAAACGAGCGTTTCGTCAGAGGTCGCCCGCTTTCCTGCACGCATCGATGTTCTTTCATTGGTCGATGTTCGAAGGCCAGTTTAGATTGCGGCTGTCGGCTACAAAGGCCGCTGTGACAATAACAGCCCCAATGTTACCGGCAGCTATCGCTCGGCCAAAGTCGGCACCGAGTTCACCGCGAGAAAACTCCGCAGCCAGCCCAAACGCTGAAGTTCCCAGAAGGTGAGGGGAGCGCGCCTGTCACATCCTTCCATACACGTGCAGACTTCCGCCTCCTCCCCCCCACCCGCGCAATGGCATCTCTCCAGTCCACGCCATGCATATGGTTCCGTTCTGCGACGTAGCCTGCCCTGCTACGCCCTTTCTGTTCTCCCTCTCGTCTCGCTCCACTCCTCCGTGCGTCTGCGAACACCGCCCACAGACGCCGACCACGGCGGCCCCTGTGGCGGCCAGTTCACGGGGCGCGCTGGCGGCGTGCCCTTGCTCGCACACCTCGAGCCCATCGCCCGCGCTATCTGTCACGCTGCACCAGCAGTATCAGGCGTTCAATAATGCCGTGTATACAGCGGCTGAGTGGTGCCAGCAGATAGGCACACCCCCGTGCGGGGAGCGCCACGCCCGCGCCCGTCGCACCGGCGCTGCAGTGGCTGCACGCAGCGTGCGCGACACTCGTGGGAGGCTGCACCGCATCTGATCACCGGGAGATACTCTGCTCTGAGACGCTATGACACTGTCTGTCCTGTCTGTCTGTCTGTCTGTCTGCCGGCGACGGCGGCCGCCTCCGCCGGACCGGACCGGTTGTCTCCGACGGCCGGCTGACCTTGCACCGCCGCCAAGGTCGCGGCCGGCCGACAGAGGCCGCTCTGCGTGGGTAGGTAATCGTCGAAGCTCGTGCGTTCCGGGAGACGGCCGCCTGAGCTCGCGGCGCCGCGCTTCGGAGAATTCTGGCTGGCTTACGGCGGCGTGGGTCGTCTCACTGATCCCGACACCGACCGGTGCGGATCCGGGGTCGTACCGACGGCCAGGATCGCGCCGGGCGGGGCGGGGCGGGGCGGGGCGCAGCGCTCGCACTCGGCCGGGGTCAGGGTCAGCGTGTCCGCTCCATCCGCGGGAGCCGCCACGGGATGGATGACAACAGGCCACACAAGGCCGCGGACAATGGGACTCGGCTGCTGCCCTACCGAATGCAGACGCCGCACACAATGGGATGAGCCACGTTCGTCCATCCTCGTTCCCGGAGCGAGAATGTTCGTTCGGCCCGGTCAGACCAGGAAGCGGCAGCCGCACGCCCACCGACAGAAGCCGCACCACTGGCCTCAGATGGCGACAACACCCACGACGTTAAACGTCGCTCGGGAAAGGCGCGGCGTTGCGATAGCAGCGGGCAATACCATTAGCATGAGACCAGCGCGAAGAAGAGATGATGATCATAATCAGCCCGTCGTCCATAATAATCAACCTGTCCGGGGTTGCTCAGCTGATCACTTCCGCCTGACGAGCCCACACTCCCCAAGACTGAATCGCTCAGATCTCACCCCACAGGCGCGAGAACGAACAGCGCTGAGCATGGACAAAACACGAAAACGCTGTGACCGGTGCAGGGCAAAACGGCCGTAAGCTCCACACAGTATCCTTTCACGGCACGGGCACTGCCCTGTCAAGTTGTTTTCGTCACCTGACGCGGAGGGACAGTGCCTGGTCCCGGCCGCCGTGTCACCCCCCCCCCCCCTCCCCGCTCACGGAACGAGAGCGAGGCGCCCGGGACGGCCCGGGCGACGGCCTTGACCCGCGCTCCGCCGGCTGCGGCTCTTCCCGAGCCCGGTCCGTGGGAAGAGCGCTGGCGCCACGCCCCGGGCACTGCGGCCGTCACCGGCTGCCGGGACGCGGCCGGTCCCACCGCCGCGCTCGGCGCACGCCCCTGTAAACATCAGCAGCAGAGGCGGCGGCGGCGGCGGCGGGACGTGATCGCGCGCCGGTCGGCGTCAGCCGTTTCTGACCGGACGAGGGCGGGGGGAGGGGCCGGGGGCTGCCGACCGCGCCACCGGCTGCTGCTGCCGACAGCTGGAGGGTATTGAGGAGCCGGGGCGGAACAGCCGGGGCCGTTAGGTGCCGCCGGCCGACCATCAGACCAGCGCCGGCCGGGCGTCTGGCGGCGCCGCCGGCGGCCGCAGCTGAACCGGATGCGACCGGCCGCGCCGCCGCGCCGGAAACAGCGGCGCCGCCCGCCACGCGCCCGGCTGCGAGGTGCCGATGCCGGTCAGGCCAGGCCCGGCCGCCATCAGCACCGCGTCGGCATTCGGGCCGCGGACGAGGCGCCGCACCGTTCACACGACGGCGGCGCCTCCACGCCTCAACGGACACGTCCAGCCGTGCAGTCGCTGTGGGCGGACGTGACACCCGCGCTCGTCACTGTCGCGATCGCTCACAGCGGACGACGCGAGAGTGCTCTCAGCGGGGCGCGCCGGCGTCAGCGACGGTGCCCGCTGTGAAACGGTCCGCTCAAACAGGGGAACTGAGGCGTCAGGCAGACCGGCGCGAGGCTACGGCAACCCAAAAATTGCTCTCATCATTTTGGTGGCACCCGTGTTTAAGCGCTCGCAATGGAACATACAATCGCCGGAGGAGAGCCACCCCTGGACATGGCTCCAAGCGAGCTCCATCCCTGACCTGACCCAGCGCTGGGTCTCGGCTCTTCGGCCCCTCCCGGCGGCCAGCGACCCCGTACCGTCTGCCGGCGCAAACATCCTGCAGAGCGGCGCAGCTTGCAGACAGGACAACGCACGCCGTTGTCAAACGCTAAGAGGGACAAACACGCGTTTGTAAGGCTATTTGCAACGCCGAGGGAGGGAGGCGGGCGGGTTCGTGTCGCGAACGAAACAGACCGCCTGTTCGCCGTTGATGTGGCAAATGTCGTGGGTCACATCCTGGCCCGCAGCTGTCTGCTTCGCCGGTGAACACAAGTGCGGCATGTCCGTAAAGCAGACTGTGGCTCGGCAGGGCCTCAAGAAAATCACGCGCCTCCTAGTGCATGCAAGACGCCTCCCCCGGCATATTATTGCATAGCCATGTGTGATCGATACCTCCACGTGGCTCAGTTGGACCGGCCGCAGTTTTGCACCGTGCGGAGCGACCCCATTTGACGGAACAAGCAAAGTTTGTCGCGGTTGGTTATTTTCCCCCGCGTTGTAGCGGTCAGCCAGGTGAGCGCAACTGGTTTGTGGGAACAAAGGTAGCCAACCGCTGCGATCTCTGGCAGTAAAATAACGACGTGAGCGATTATATCATACTTAACTCAACTCGGCGTCCAAGCATAAACAACGGGTTGTTGGCCCATACATGTCACCATGCACAACTCGGCCTCGGGCTAATGGCACGGTCGGCGCCCCGGTTGGCCCGCCTGACCTTTCGACCGTCGCAGGGCGCCGCGACACGAGCCTTTCACCCGCGGAGGGGGCGGGGCGGGGAGGGGAGTGGGCGTCAGTGTATTAAGGCGGCAGCTTTGGTAACGCCGTCAGATCAATGTATAAGCCGCCCAGCGCGCGCCCTTGGTGGCTGTAGCAACTTGCACCGCGCTAGACTCGACAAACAAGCCATCCACGACAAGCCAGGCGCAGCGATCGTCAGCGTCTCTGAAAGCGAAGGAAACGGGCCAGCTGCCGACACCGGCGGAGACGAGGGCGAAAGTGTTCATCCGCAGCAGATGGCGACAATTTTGGCCACCTGGTGCGCGGCAGTCCACTGCGAGATGAGGTAACACTTCCAGCAAACAGAATAACAGCACCCGCTCACCCCTCAACAAAATAAACCGCGCGTCCTCGCAATGGTTACGAACGATTTCGCGTAAGTCTTCTTAAGCCTGTGCAGAATGGGCAATTTAGACCTGGCACCACCACTGGCATTAAGTTCAAAGGGACACCCAGAATAGACGCCATCCGAATCGTTACAAAAGCCACATCGCAAATGGAACCTCGCAGTCGATCCTTCGATGCCTGACAATCCTATCAGTAGTGCACGCACCGTAGGATTAATTCGAGCTGGGCTCGACTATCACCACGGCCTGCAAAGCTGACAGAGCTGAGCAGTGGTGTACTGAATCACAGCCAAGGTCATCCCATTCTCCCAGGCTTCATACAACCCGTGAAATTCCCAGAAAGAGGAGAGAAGCCAAGCCATTCCGTGGCGTACACATAACTGTAAACGCAACGCTTCGTTCCGTAGTTAAGTGGGATAGTTGTAGCTTTTCCCCTGTCTGTCGCCACAACGCTGCCACCGCAACCCAAAAATACGGCCACCACAGCTCAAAACCGGTGGCTACCCCCGTCCTGTCTGCGCCGCAGCCGAGCGCGACGGCGGTGCGCGGGCCCCACCAGCGGGCCTCCGTCCCCGGCGGTGCCGGGCTGGGCCGGCCCGGAGCCTTGCTGGGGGCGCGAGCCAACTGCCGGCGCGGTGGTGACGTGTGACGCCGCCCGCCTGACGCCACTGTCCGGCCGCCCACGGCTGCGGAGGCCGGCACAGCGCCGGGCCCCAGGCGCGGCCCGCCTCAGGCGCCGGCCCCGCCGTCGGCGCCGGTTTAGCCAGCCCGGGCCGGCCGAGCACCGCACAGTATGCAGCGGAGCCCGACCAGACCACTGTGACCCGGCGGCCGGTCCCGGAGGGTGCCGGCCGGGCCGGACGCCCTTACGGCACACCAGCGCCGATGCATGCGAGTGCCGCGTTCACGGCGGCTCGCCCGCAGTATTCAGCTCAGCCGGCCCGACCAAATCATGACGTGTACGCATGAGCGGGGCGGGGCGGGGCGGGGCGGGGAGGGGCGGGGCTCACGGGCGGTGCCAGCGGGGCGGGGCGGGGGAGGGCGCAGCAGGCGAGAATATAGGTCACATCATGCCGGCTTGCGCCCACAGCCGACGGGGTGTGCAAGTGCAAGCCTCGCCCGCCGCACAGGCTGCTCGCTCACATGCCGCTGTGTCAAGCACGCGGGCGATCCGTCCCAACAGATCACGCCGGATGACGTGGACAGGCTGGGCCAACTCGACGGACGGCACAGGAGCGCGCACTTCGCACGTGCGTGTCAGCCACTGAGGCGTTTGCAACGGCAATCACTTTGAACTGCGTGAAGAGCCTGGGGAAATGAGTCGTCACCGAGCGGCAGCTTTTCCCACACACGAAAAATCCACGTTATGAAATCCAGCCGCGGCACTCCGCTGCAGCGTTCATGATTCACCGCACAGGCTCTGGCTTGCAGCACCGTCCCAGACCACTCCCGGCCACCTACATCAACACGTTCAGCGCTGTGGGCGCTGACAGATGCAGGCCGAGCGGACCCCGAGCCCTACCCCGCCACGCGGCTGACGGCGGCAGCTCAGCGCAGGGCTGGTGCACCATACAGAGAAGCGTTCGCACGCCCCAGCCTGGACACCAGCCTCTCGGATGACATACCGCCTCACTGGGCGGCGCAGATGAACATGTCCGCTGGGCAGCCAATGCCGCCCCACCGTGAACACAGTCTCTCCGACGACATACTGCCTCACTGGGCGGAGCAGATGAATATGTCCGCTGGGTAGCCAATGCCGCCCACCCTGGACACCAGCCTCCCAGACGACATACTGTCGCATAAGGCGGCCCAAATGAGTATGTCCACTGGGCAGCCAATGCCGCCCCGCCCTGAACACGGCCTCTCAGAAGACATACTGCCGCATAAGGCGGCGCACATATGTCCGCTGAGGAGCCAATGCCGCCCCACCCTGGACACCAGCCTCTCAGACGACATACTGCCTCACTGGGCGGAGCAGATGAATATGTCCGCTGGGGAGCCAATGCCGCCCCACCCTGGACACCAGCCTCTCAGACGACATACTGCCTCACTGGGCGGAGCAGATGAATATGTCCCCTGAGCAGCCAATGCCGCTCCAGCCCATTGACAGCAGTTGTTTGATAATGACAGTTTGACAGCAGTTGTTTGCAGTTGTTAGAAAATGTTGTGCAACACAGAGCACAGCCCGAGATTTCGATGTTATCATGAGGTTTGACCGGAAGCATCGAGGCCTGCGAGAACAATGGCATTACAGCTGGCAGCCGTTCACTCTGCAGCGGTCACTGTTACTGACAGGAGTTGTTATTCTACATAACATTCAATTGGTGGGCTCGTCTACCGCTGGCGGTGCTAACAGTCCTTCAAATCAGTGGCCAAGATGGTGATCCAATCTAATCTGATCAAATCAGTGGTCCAATCTAGCTGCAGCACTCATAACAGACAGATGTTACTTGACAGAAGAAAGCGGGGTCACCGAAACACAACTCTCGGTTTTCTACACAGCACACCGAGGATGATCTGTGCTTAATGAATCCCGTTATTAATGGAGAATAGCGATCGGAAACAGCTCCGCGGTCGTCGGAGAAACAGCGAAAGTGCAGGAAAACGCTGCGCGGGGACAAACATGGCATATGCCACCGCTTTCGACCCTCTACGAGCGGACAGCACGTAACAACAACGGAAGTAAGCGCGGCCCGAGCGGACCTGTAGAAGGGAGTAGAGTTCATCCGCCTAGCCGCCCACCTGCCACCGGACACCAGGTCACCCATAGACAGCTGTGACGGCACGATGAGCGCGACCGAGACGTGTCTGGGGCCGAGCGGGCCCACTGACCGACCTGGAAGACAGTTCCTCGAACTTGCCACCGTCCAGCAGGTGCACCTTGCAGAATAGCACGGCGTTCACAAATGGCACGGCCGTTAGCTCAGCCAGCTCCAGATCCACCTGGAACTTGTACTTCTTCTTCTTCACCATGATATTCATGATGTCACTCTGCTTGGCTGAGAGTTGTCCACACTGGCAGCCTAATCCACGCCTACGGCCTGCAATAAGAACGCCAGGTTGTTACGCACCCGTGACTCCAGTGCGCACGCGGCACTTGTTGCATGGACGTGAGCCACTTTCGTGCCTTACGGTGCCATGCTAACCATGGTTGGAATATAACTTTTTCGATCTTGGGACCACAATGTCATAAATAAAGGGAATGGGCGACATTGCTGGAGCATCAACGCCTACATTGCGGTCAGCTTGGCCGTGACTGATGAAAATGAGTCAAGTTATGTACTTAAAAACCACCATACCTACATCTTTTACATAAATGTTATTCACTTTGTAACACAACATTGCCTGGTCATATTCATGGAGCATTATTGCATCATCCATGCATTTCATAAAAGTTTAATCTGAGCAAACACTTAATAAATCAAACTACAAAAATGTTTCTATCCCTTGCTATTAATTAGCAGCCAAAATGCATATAAGCATATATGTTACTACAAAACCTTGAAAACTTGGTGCATTTGTTTTTTATCAAACCACACACAATTTAGTGAGCATATGTATAAATGGCATCTACATCAGAATACATGCTAGTTTTATTGGCTAATGTATCAAAACTCAAAGTGTAATAAAATTACAACACCTGCCTTTAACTTGTTAGATCATCATGATTTAATCACTTAAAAAGCATCTATGTATGACCTATTTAGTGTTGATGACCTATCATATAATTATTAAATAAACCAAGGGCTTCAAATATATACCATGATTTCTCAGGTTTGCTCATCAAACATTCCATATAGCCCACCATTCAAGAATTGTATATCTGGAATGGCAAAGGGATAACCACTTCACACAGTGAAGAGGCTTCAATGAATATGACAGACTGGGATGCCTTTGCCTATACCAAGGCAAATCCTACCAGTAAAAGTAAATGGCCATGTTTTCAGTTGGACAAAAAGTTGCATTTTTAACTGATGCTTCCTACATTAATCTATATTGCCAATACAACAACTCAATTACCATACTTGTATTAACCATTGGTATTCCTATCAGAGCAAAAACTTGCATGATGATTAATGCCCAAGATATGCATTTTGATCTTGGACTAGAGATTAGTGAGAAAAAGAATATTTGGCACATCAACAGAAGACACATCTAACTGTCCCCACATTTACAAACACATCATCATACACTGGCAGCAAGGACTCAACACTTGATCACCCAACTGCATGTTTTGTTATTCAGTCTGAGACCCATAATTTTTTCATTGGATGCATTTCTAGGATCAGTAACCACAACAGGCAGTATATGTTGCATAAATCCTGCCCCATCCAATTGTGAACTTAAATTCAATTCCAGACAAACAATAGTATGCTGTAGCAAAAGCTTAGTATGCCAAATCTACTGATCTCTATTCTACCCAATGGCAGTGACTAACTTGACCTTTGGTGTGACCATCACCACAGGCTGCAGGCCATCCGACTGGTTACAGGTCTGGTCAGGGCCAGAAAGCAAACACTAAATCAACTTGAACCTGCACATCCTGCCATTGGTAGATGAACCGACAAAAACAGTGTGCTGACCATATGTGAAAGAGTGTCTCAGAAAGAAGGGAAGCTGATACACATTTTGGAGTTGATTCTTTGCATGCATCACTACAGGGTTACCCTGGTCCTACCCCCTTGACTCTGACTAAGTGAGCCCCTGAAAAGACAAATGATGTATTTGGAATGAGCACTGCAGTGCCATATGAACATGTACCAACAAAAACAGCCCCTGTAATTTAACTCAATATTATGGGGTACAAACCCTACTATAGCATTATTGTTACATCTGTGGCTCATTCTTAAATAAAAATATCCCACCACATTCTATTTCACACACATATCAGTCTTAACTCATGACTTTACAGAGATTACACTGATGCTCAAGAACAACCAGTGAGTTCATTCTGCTGTATTTATTACACTGCCCACTGATGACCATCTCCAACTGGCTACAAAAACACATTGCTTACAAGTAAACTACTATGGTGTAAGGATGCAGCCAACACTTTGCTTGTTTGATAATAAGAAAGTGTGCATTATCCAGCTAGACTTTTTGGGCAAAACATAGTTTACCAATATTTTAAATGCATGACATTGCACCACACATTAAGATGCAAGTGCAACACAGTAAACAACTTCTATCAAGATTGCTAAAAACATTTCATATAGTGGGAGCAAAACTTTGATACTAACAGTTTCATATAACATCACTCAAAATGGATAACTTGCTACAAAATAATCAAACTTGCAGCTGGTTTTCAAAAGCACCAACACATTTAGCCTGCAGATGGTACAAATGCACAAATCTGCCTTTTGCTGGCAGGGTCAAGTAATCATGATGACGCACATGTTGCCAAGAACATGAATATTTCTGCATACAACACATATGTTCTGTTAACAGCATACCAACCCTGTGGTGGTGCAAGGCAAGGATTGACCTCAAGAACAGGTTGGTCCAAAAGTTGCCCGTGTGCCAATACCCACTGAAATGGCTAGCCTTTTTAGAACTTATGCAGGGATGGAATTCACATGACATTTAGAGATATCGGCTGACCCAACACTGATATCCACACGTACTCACCATAACTGAAACGCAGGAGCAAGTCAGCAGTGCACTTCTCGAACGGTGCGTGACACGCTCATCCCAACTTGATCTTGCCACGCAGCGATAAAATCAGTCCTGTCGCTGAGCACCACGGCTAGAACAGGACAGCACCTCGGTGAACGCTATCTTCAAATAAAACCCGTGCACACGAGTCATGCACAACACACCCAGTCACAAACGCACCGCGATCGCCCCGAAACACCAAATTCACGGCTCGAAATAATGCCGTTGCCGTAAATCAGTAACAGCTCGGGGAGAAGTCGTCAGATTGCTACCATATCCTCGAAAATACTAGCGCATTTTTTAAAGACTTTTGTTTTGCATCGTCTTCGGGCCTCTATCCTTGAACAGATAGGTGACACCAAGGGTATAAGGGAGCGTTGAGCGAAAAGGTGCAGGCACCTTTCAAGGCCGGTGGAGGGACCTAGTTTGTTACCACGGTGCTCAATGTACGTGAAAATGACGTTAAATTTGGGACTTGTCCGACCCAATAGACTTTGGTGCTACCGGGGTCTTCTGTTGGACCAGCCACTAAACACTTGTTGGGTTGCATTGCGATCTGACCAATCTCATGGACTTCCAAACCCCGATGTGACGTCACTATTACGGCTTATGGTCGTTTTGAAATAGTCTCATCGTGATCCAGACATTGCAAAAATGCTAGGAGGCGACGACGTGCATTTATTATTCGAGTGTGGTCCTCCAGCGAACAATCACATTGCGATGTGGCAGGTGGTGTTTACCACAGCGTGATGTGGTCGTTTGGAGACAATCTATCACTCGACGTAGTTGACGCATGTGCGGAAGACGTTGGTGTTTGGCGCTCGTCCAGGGGCGCAGTTTCACAAATGAGCTGGGGGAGTCTGAGCAGTGGAAAATTACCCGATCTACGCTCAACCCCAAAATATGCCAATAGACATGTTTTCCCCAGATTTGGCCCACTTTCTCAACAAAGTTAGGGAGAGGGGGGGGCGGGGCTGCAGCCAAAGTTGGGAGACTGAAGCCTCCCTTCCCAACTGAATAGAAAACTACATTCCTGCGTATAACATTGGGCTTCCTGTGCCTGTGGCGCAAAATGCTTTGGGGGATTGCAGAGCTTATAAGGGTTGAAAGGCGTTTGGAAGTACAGCGTGGGCGTGAGGTATGTAGTAAGGCGCGTTGCATGGATGTGAGATTTGAGCTGGTGGAGTTGATTTGGGAGCACAATGTGTGAGCCATGCCGCAAAATAATACGAAATGATTCCGGACTTTTCTGAGCAAAAACTGGTTTTTATCTCCTTGCCACTTTTTCACATTCCAAAATGTGATACAAAGAGAGCATATCAAAGAAAGACAACCTGGCCCAGACCTGTATTTGCATTTAAGTCAAGGCGTGTCAAAACTTAAAACTTCAGTTCAAGAAATGGCATCGCCGTCAGCATGATTTTGCTCATTTTTCGTAAAGATCAAACCTCAATTCCGCCATGTTTTTGCCTTTAGGCAGAATGAGTCCGTAAGGTTATCGTGCAAGCAGCCATACCTTTGTGGACATTTTCCTCAACAACAAAGCAAAGCACGATATGACAATGCACGTCTTACCACCTCGCGATGTCATCGCTTTTGAAGCCGCCTGAAACCGCCAAACATATTCCATGAAGAAATCTGCATCGCCGTGTAGGATTTCGTGGCTGGCCAGAGCATGATGTGACTGAGCACGATCATCTGCCAGGATATACCAGACCATCGGGGTTTCATAATCAGGGACTTTTCACACTGTGATGGGGCCGTCTGAAACGACTGGTGACCGTTTTCGGGATTAGAACTTTACATATAAATAAGTGACCGAGCTAATGTCTAGGTCTGGAGGCTCGAGTTAACGCTGTTCTCTTGGACCATGGAATGGGGACAGAGGTTTTATGAAACCATGGTATGTTACGATTTCTTCGAGCAAGCGTTACCACCAGTAAGGGGTGCAGTTCCGCAGAACAAGTTGGCTGCTGAGTGAGGATACAATAGTTGCATCTACACCAAAGTCGCCAACAAATGGCACATTCCGAATCTAGCATACTTTTCTCCTGGATAGCTATTTTTTTGTCTCCACTCTCCTTTTCATTTCAACTGAATGTGAAATTGCACCCACCATGCATGCTTTACTTTTTCCTCTCTCTTGAATCTCCAGTGCATCACTACGCCACATTTGGGATATATCATAAGCATGCGCAGATAATATTTGTACGTTGTTTTCATATATCATAATCTTTCTCAGCGTATATTTCAGATATGCTGAGAAAGGCGGAAAAATTGCAACTTCGAAATTGTGATTTTCCTACAGTTGCCACCCTTTTCTTTTTAACTTGTGACCGCAGTTTTGCAATAAGTATTAAAGCTAGCAAAAAGTGAAACTATGCTCATGGTCAACACGAGGTGAAGGAAAGTATATCACATGTGTTCGGCTGCCGGTCTTCACTGGCTTGCAGTAGCACACAAAAAGTACGCCTTGGCCATCACAGGAGAAATTAAAAATCAAGCACTCTGCCCGCATGTCCAATATTTGCCCCGTCCTCCCGTAATCAAAGTAAAAAGACCACACAGAGCCCGATACCATTGATCTCTTTCTTACCTCACAACACAGAACATTGGCTTACTGGCCAACATATCTAGAACACCATCGCCCAATTTGCCATCCATCTTCCAACACATCGCAAACATTACGCATAAGACGGTGCATTTTCAATTATCATGCACACTATGACCACACCATTCCCAATGATTTGTTCTCTTAAAGGCGGATACTGTAAGCTTCCACTCATGGCAAGCCATGCACCCGTGTTTGTTGCGCAGGTTTCGCTTAATTGGGAGTCAAACGGACCATGCCTTTATGGAGCATGACGCGCAACACACTATAACTAGGGGGAGGGGTCTTCCGCCCAACGTAACCAATTCGTAGCAAGGGAGGAAAGGGGTTGAAAATAGGCAAAATGCCTAACGTACTTAATGCATGTTTTCACACCCATGAATTACGAAGTAAATGTTCATGGTACTATCAGGTTCTAACCTGCTAAACACGCGCTCACATGTCATGTCATTTGATGCCAGTCAGGGTGTCACTTTCTAAAATTCCTGGGGGGGGGGGGGCTCAGCCGAAAAGGCTGACCTCACACGCTCCAAAAACCTGAATTATCCCTGAGTGTTGGCCACTTGAATTTGCTTCCTCGATGTGAATTTCGCCATTAAGTCCCTTTTGATATTTCGTAGATTCAAACTTGTTTTCCTGCGGAGGGATTGCTTCTCACTGCTAGTTATTGAAAGCTGCTTTAGTGGAAAGCTTGGAATGGGATTTAATTCACCGAAAATATATTTGTATACCTTTATTAGGGATTACTGATGACCACTGCTGTTGCTGATCGTGTGGCATAACCATCACAGCCACGACTATGCGACAGATACACTTGCCATTAGTGTTGGCGATGGTGAAAACACGCGTTAACTTTTATCAGTTACCCTGTACTTTTGAAAGCTGTCACATCTTGCAGTTAATTGTTCTTTATCCCAATCTAGACACTATCATTCGAATAAAATCTTGTCATACAATTGCGGACCGGTTTAACATATGAGTTAGCATCACAAAAACATGAGTCACCTGCAGGCTGGTATTTGGTACAAAATATACACAGAATTAAGACAGTATTAATAGCCTTATTGATCGTAGAATAACCAGGAGAATAAACAGATACACGCATTGATGTTTCGGCTTCATGCCTTCATCGAAACGAATATCAAACATTGCACTCCTCCTCTGATTATTATTCGCTTTGATAATGGCATGTAGCCAAAATATCAACGAATCTATTTGCTCGTTCCCCCGGTCATTCTGCGACGAATAGGGCTATTAGCACTGCCTTAGTTATATGTATAGTGCTCTTCACAAATGTACCTAACAACTTCCGTGAGATACATGATGCATGAAACCAAGAGTACTATGTCTAGGCATATACTACCCAGCATACGAATATTTAGCACAACTGTTCCGCATTTGTGTGGCCCAGTATTCCTTTTTTGTTCATATGCACTGAGAAGGCTCAGAGGAGCATTAGGGGGAGGGGTCAAGTAAGCATTGGGCTCAGGTACCCCCCCCCCCTGAGAGTATGCAGAATGACGACCTTGATGCAAGTGCTTCTGTTCTATGAGGGTACGTTTATGCTGCACTCCGGAAATGTTCGATTTTGCAACGCTTGTCATAAATGAGCTTTGTCTGCTTTGCTGATTCAAAGTTCCTCCCCCTGCTTATCGTACACTTAGGGTCCACTGTCCAAGAATTAAAAACCTGTGAAATTTTTTGTTTGTTTGTTTGTTTTTTTTTGTTGTTGTTCTTGTTTCGCTCTCGGTTCTTGCACGCAATGTAACTCGTCCACGCCCGCAAACGCTCTGTTTATATCTGGAGTCAGAGGCATTCGGAAATCTCTGATGATCTGAAGACTTCTAACAAAGTCTGTAGACGTTACCGTGATATGGCAGCAACTACGCACCGTCGGTTAGTGTCCGTTCCTTAAGTAATACATTCGTATATCTCCCATAGGTGGCAGCACAATGCTCGAATGAAGCGTCTCGTCTGGCAGTGAGCAGCAAGTCGTGTTGCGGCCGTCACCACACTAGTGCTCTCCGTCACACGGTGATGCCCCCCTGCCCGAGGCACAATCGATATCTGGCCAGGAAAGCGGTCAGCACGGAGCGGTAGGACGGAGTATGCTTAAGTCCCGAGTAAGCCAGGATATAAAATAATTCACACACCAATCGATCGTCCCTTGATCGGTTGGTCTTATCAGACGCCTTAGATTTCCAATGTTTTGCATTTCGGCGGGCTGATCTGATTTTCGAATTTTGCTGGGATTTCTCCGCGCACGAGTGCGCCATTCCGCGGTCAAGGCTTACATGCAGCCAACCGAATGGCCTCTCAGCTTTCTTCGATCAGGCCTTCAACCTTACGGCATAAACGATATCCTGATTCAAGTATAAAAGAGAGCAGCCGAAGGGACATACTGCTGTATGATCATGAGCACGCATTAACTCGAGCTCAGGAAAGGCCTCGTGGGTTTTTGTAGCGCGCACCACCTGCTGAATGCTGCTCAGGCTGAGCTGCGCTGGTGCATTGAGACCCCACCACGACCTGTGTCCAAGCAGACTGCCGCTCTCTCCCCAGACGGGACGCACA